CAGTAGTAAACAACAATCTGCGTTTGGTACCTATCTGGTCATTTAAAATCATCCAGACCTAAAGATTTCATGGAGTTTTCTTTAAAAATCAAACAAACAAATGAAAAGTTATACTGTCAAATTCCTCGCTTTTCAAAAAGCTTCTGTTTATGAACCTGGCAAAAGAAAGCATGACAGGGATGTAAATTTATATTTGTAAATTCATGTATTGGAATATTATCATGATAAAGAAACTACCAAAAAATGCTTAAAGGCCAATGAGCATGAGCCAGCCCTAAATCACCTAGTATGACCTCACAATTTACCCTGCTTGAGCAAAATGTGAGGCTAGCTGGCCTCTTGATGTTTCTTTCAACCTGGATTATCCAGAGAATCTAGCAAAAACTTCCAGAAATTCTGGAAAAAGCAACCTTAACTAAGAACTCTTTCTAGAGAACAAATCAGCCCCACTGCTTGCACACTTCAGATATGTGAGTTCCCATGTCACACTATTTTGCATGCACATAAACTTATCCCATTGCATACTGTGGAACTTGAACTCAGTCTTGAGAGAGCACAAAAACCCCAAAAGGGACCAAGCCCTACAGCCCTGTGCAGATACAATCCTACTGCTGCACAGCAGCTCTAAAGCCTTGACTGATGTTGCAAAACTGGGATAGCTGGCAACATCACCTGGTTTGTTGTTGTTGTTTTGGGGGGTCATTTGGTTTTGGTGGTTTCATTTGTTTGTTTTGGGTTGTTGGTTTTGTTTTGGTTGTTTGATTTTGGTTTTGTGTTTATTAAGGTTAGTTATATTAATAAAAGACACAGCAAATGGGGACGGGCTGTACGTTGGCAATGAAGGCTGCTTTCTTCATGCCTTCCCTCTGGGTCATTGCAGGGTGGGTGCTTGGGCTCTTGGGGCCCTTAGCACTGCTGTCACCTGCGGAGTTGGTGCTCTACCTTGTGGGGAAATGTCTTTTTCTTCCTTCCTCTCCCTGTACATCTTGGAGGCTGGGAACTACTCCTGAAAGCAAGAGTGTGATACAAAAGAACCCTTTGAGCAGTTCATTAATTTCCTTTTTTCCTTTCCTCTTTTTTTTTTTTTTTTTTTTTTTTTTTTTTTTTTTTTTTTTTTTTTTTTTTTTTTTTTTTTTTTTTTTTTTTTTTTTTTTTTTTTTTAATGCATTTCAATAGCATGTATTGTTCTGTGACTTACATTTGGGAGTAATTCCATACACAAAGGCCTTTTCATTTAACTAGATTAGTCTTTTCATTAAATTACTCTTTCCCAATAGTAGCTTTAGGGTCTGATTCTTCTCTTATTTACCTGGTTGCTGACAACCTATGTGGGGACATACAATTCAGATACAATTCATGCCTGTAATGAGATCTGGCATTTTAAACAGATGCATTCTTTACTCTGATTTACAGAAAACCTCCTTCCAGTCCCTCTTCTAGACCACCACTGCACCTCTGCACAACCCTGAAAAATACATTAGGTTTGATTTGTTTTTGAATTCTTTTTTTTGGGGTATATTACTGCAAATGAGTCATCTCTGACCTATCACTGCCTATACATTTGATGAAAAAAGTTTAAATTCACCTTTCAAAAGTAAACATTAAATCCCATATTTGCACATAGGCATGTTTAAATCATTCTCCATCTATTTGATATAATAAAATCTATAAAAATAATTTATTGATCATAAGAAAGTTCTGTTGGCTAGAATGAAACAATGACAACACGGTTTGGGAACGTAAATGCAACTGATTCCTGATCTCATTCATTATCTAGATTAAGATTCAGCACCTCTGAAGTGAAGTACATCCTCTAAAAATACACCATTGCCTCCCAATCACTGTGTTGTTTGTGAATTTTGTAACAAATTGCTAAGTTATGCAGCTTCAGGTGCATGCAAATGTGATTTTCTGAGCAAGACACTTTACCAGCTAAGAGAAATCATTATCACACATCACAGTTTTAAAAAAGACAATGTACAAGCACAGCAGAACTTTTAGACCAGTATTAACATGCCAAATTTTCAACTTTATATACCATTTCATTTCAGCTCTACAATTTCCTCAACAAATTTTGCAAAAAACCCACATCCTCTAATTGTACTAGTGTGTAAATATATACACATATATGTGCTGTAGTTAAAAAAGGTGCAGAGATTCTACTAGAACTTTTGAAAGGAGAAATTAATGTATAGAAATAGACTAAGCTATGCAATTTCAGCTATAAATTATAAAAGTTATGAAGTCTTTAAGACCGAGGATAAAAATAGGAGCTTTATTTCCTGCTATTGAGTCTCTTCTATCCAAACTGCTGATACGTCTTTCCTATTTTAAGTACAAGGCTGTACCTTGTCACCCTGTTCTTTTGAGAGTTTTAAAATTCTTCTATAAGTTTTCTATGCCTTCTGATATTTACATATTTCAACTGAATTTTCTCACACTGCTCATGTAAATAATGATTGTGTTACACTCTTTTTTGTGGGTGGAGAGAATTGATAGACTGTTGGTTTGACCAGTGTGGTTGGAGAGGTGGCAATTTCACCCTCCAATCCACTGTCACTCTTGCTATTCTAGATATAGTGGAGTCAGAAAATAAAATCCTCTTTTTTGGTTCTTTTTCTTCCCTCTTTTACATAACACGTGTCTGTAAGTTGTTTCATGTTCTAATGTGACAGTACGTAGTTTCTCAGATAGCATTTTGTTATCCCACTTGCTGAAGCAGGAAAGGTGCAGCAGCACACCCCAAAGCAGGCATTCCAGGAGGGAGTCAATAGAAAGCTTAAGCCAGGAGTGCCAGATCTCCTCAGGAAGTGTGCTCCAGAATTAGAGAACAGTAGAACCACCTGACAACCTGGCAGACTGTCATAATTGTCTAAAAAATATGTAAAAAACGGATCAGCAGACTCTCCAGGGAGGAATGCCAATAATTTTTGTAAAGGGCCAGGCTGGGGAATCGCACAGCTGTCTCTAAACACGAGGTTTGGAATCAGATAACACGCTGCCATGCCATGCCGGGCCCAGGCACAATTCTATTGTTTCCAGATGACTTGTAGCCATGCTGCAATTTGTACTTCACATTCAGATGAGATACCCATGAGCACTCCCAGCCACCTCCCTTCCAGAGGAGCCCAGGGCCATCGGGTCCCTCTTCTCCCTAACATCAGCCCTGCCAGGCACAGCGTTACTGACATTTGCACTGCCGGCACGTCGGCTGCTCACCAAACAGCACCCAGCATTCCAGACTATGGAACAGCTGCTTGTACAAGGCAGAATAGAGAAGCTGAGAGGCTGATTCATGTGTACAACTGATGTGCTGGGAACACAGCACACTGCACAGCAATGTGTGACTGTGTGGAGGGCAGCAAGCCCAGGGGAAGTGAATGCTACTGCACAGAGAAGTCCTTTGTGTAATGGGTAGTACTTGCTCTTTACAGAGACAATTAACTGCCTTACACTTCTAAATGCATCCAAAAATAATCCAAAAGAGTATTGGTAAATTGTATATTCGGGGTCAGAGCTCCAGATGTCCCCATTTTAATGCTAAACCACTTGTGTAGATGTTTCTGCTTACTTCTACATAGGAGCTTACTGATTTCCTTCTGGCACAAGTCTAGCACTGCTGGAAACCTTCCCTTTCTAAGAAAGTCTCTTCCGAACATGTGTGTGCCAAGCAAGGCAGCACATCTTAAGCAAAAAAATTATATTTAATCATTGCTTCAAGATTTTAAATCCAAAATGGACAAATGTGATTGTTGAAACTGATCTTCCCAATAACAGAGGCTGGAAATTTCTTTATATGCTTCAGGTATTAAGCCCACACCAGTTGCATGTGAGCAGGCAAAACCAAAATCACAAAATCATGGAATGTTTTGGGTTGTAAGGAGCCACAAAGATCATTTTGTCACAACCCTCCTGCCATGGACAGGGAACCTTCAACTAATGTCTTTCCAGGAAGTCTGGAAAATGTTCCAAAATGTCTTTCCAGGTCCTACTGATTAAGAAGGAAGGGCACTATCCCTTGCCTTGATCATTGGCTTTTCATGAAAACTCAGAGTAAATAGAAAGATTCAGGTCACTTTCAGGACTCTGATACTGACATAAGCATTGATTCCTGGGGCTGCCAAGCAGTCCTGCAGTTCAAGTTATTCTGGAGCATTTCAAAGAAGTGCTGTCCTTTCTAATTGTTTCTGCATTTATGATCATTCTGTGCCTGTCACTTAGTCATTGAAGCGATATGAGGAATAAATAAATAGACTCTACAACTCAATGTAGTTATGAAGTGGGTATGTATGACAGTGCCCGGCACAAGTGAGATAGCTCTCCAAAATCTTGTGCTCCGAGCTGGAGTTTGTCCCACAATTTTATTCACAAAGGTGCTCCATATGCAATACATTACACAACTTTTCTATGCATATTCAACCCCTGGCCCTGCCTGTCCTTGTCTCTCATGCTGAATAGGTCCACACCCTTCTGGGCATCCGTGGTTTTCTGTGGTGGTCCCACGGGGGTCCCTGGTGGTCTTCTGAGGCTGAAGATCATGGTCTTCCTCATGGTTGAACTTTTGAACTTTTCCCCTCTACACGTGTGCTTTTGGTCCTTTGGTATCTTATCCGAGTATGTTTGTTAGCCTTGACATGATTTGAGACAGAGGGGTCTCCTTATCTGGGTTCTTTGCATTCCGTGGTCCTCTCTGGTATTGTCTTTTATGTAGGAAGCTCCAAAGATTTACATTTCCCTATGCCCTTTGTACCATGGCAGAGGTTTCTTTCATGATACATTCATTTTGTTAGCTCAAGTGAACCCCAAAAATCTCCATTTCATCATCAGAGTGATTTTGAAGGAAAAAAAACCTCAAAATGGTAAATAATTACTAACAGCTTGAGAGTCTATAATAGAGACAGGAAATTCCTTTCATAGCTAAGATGCAGAGCAGTGGGGTTTTATTTTTCTTCTAAATATTCTCATCCAGATTTTAATGGGTGTTCTGACAGTGGTCCCTGTATGTGCACCCTCCAGTATCTGGCCTGCAAAGAAGCAGAACCCCTGACTCAGACTCCTTGTGATAACACTTGCAGGCTTCTCCTTTTGTACTTGACACGCAAACAAGACCTACCTGCCACGGAATGTTGTCTTGTTGTTTCATTTCATGGCTGTAGACTGGTCACATCACCTTTGCCTCTCTCTGACCACAGTCTGAGTCTGAGGCCATTTCCACATAGGGAGCACAGGGTCTTTTCCATAAGAGGCAAAAGATTTTTTTTTTTTTCAGATTCAACCCACAGAACTAACTCAAAGGCTGGATAACAGGAAATTTTATTGCTGAAAAAATTATACTAGACTGACAAATGCAGAGTTTCAACAGAGAACTACTGTTCCAGACCATATGTTTCACAAACACAAATTCAGCTGTTTCCCAGTTCCACTGAAAATATACCCATTTCCCATAGGATTAAGAACAGGTCCTACTCTCAGGCCTCCTTGGCACATGATTGTGCAGCACAAAGGGAGTTAACACTCAGGAGGAATCACTCAGCACTATCACTGTTATGTTCAAAGAGCAGACCTCTCATTTCTAGGACTAAGGGCAGAATAATGTCATAGAGCACATCAAACTTTTAGAACTGGCAAACAAGGTTTTCAAAATGCATTTGCAAAGAGATATAGAAGGTAAAAAAGGGGTCATTAAAAATATAGCAGTATCTCTGAAAATGGATGCTTGCAACCAGAGAGGTTTCTGACCAAGTTGTCCTGGGATCCAAATGCAGCAACAATTACGGTTCATGCATATTTAATGGCTGTTGAATGAACAGGTAATATATCTGATAAAGGCTGGCCTAGTTGAGCATATTATTGAAGTTTAGCTACCACAAATCCAATAATTAAGGAAAGCAATGTGCCTTTTTAAGCCTTGGACTAGTTAAGGACAATGTCATTTACACACATACATCTTTGCTGTCATTGTTTCTTCCATTTTCTATGGCCTATAAAACCTTTATTGCTCTCTCCAAATTAGTGTTTCCTAGCCCACTGCACTAACAACTACTCAGGAACATTTTCAGTGCAAATGAGCAGTTCAGGCTAAAAGAGATTACATGTGGTCATACAAAACCCAATTACTTACATTTATTTTTTACATTTCTGCTCTCGCTGGCAGTCGTTTCTATACATCTGAGTGTTCCTCTGATATCCCATCACCACCAAACCTGTATGTTGATTGGTTTTGTACGTGCTTGTTGTCACAACACAGGTGGGAAAATAAGCATAGGGAGACAAAATATATAGAACAATATATAGGACAAAAATAATTTAAAAATAAGATACTGAAACCCTAAAAACACTGTTCAGAGAGCTCTGAAAGAATCAAAGTGTAGCCTTCTGTAGCAGCGCTCGCCATGTGGGGCGTGCGGGGTGCCTGCGGCAGAGGCGCGACTGTGCCCCTGCGAGCGCTGCAGTTCCCAGATATCGGCAGGGACAGAGCAGGGACCGACAGCGATGACACAGCGATGACACAGCGATGACACAGGGCTTGGGGAGGAACAACACCGACTTACCCCTAGGCCCCTAGACAAGATGGAGGGGGCGGGGGGGGGTGAACAGAAGATTTTATACAGCAGCTCAGGAGTAGGGGTGTAGGAAAGCGAACCAATGAGGATATGGGAAGAGAGGAGTATAAGGTGGGGCAAATAGATTATGAGCCTATCAGGGAAAATGGAGGGGGGGAATAATACAGAATAACAAATAGGGTGTTGAGGGCAACGAGACAGACACAGAACTCTCTGGAGAAAGGGGTAGAGATAGGGAGGATTGACAAGTTGGAAGGGAGGCGGTTAGGGAAGGGCTTGGGAAAATTGGGAACTGGGAAAAGGAGGGGATTAGGGAGGAGATCGGAGGGCAAACATGGATTCAAAGCAAAACACACCACAACAGCCTTCCACTTTGTCAAGAGAGATTTTTGAAATGAGCCATTTGCATCCATTACAATTTCTCTTCATACAGAATAATACGCAGCGCGATTCCTGGCCAGCACTAGGAAATGGGGCCCAGCCCGGGCCGGCTGGGTTTGGCCGGTGCCGGTGGAGCCTCTGCCCGGCTCCGCTCCGCCCGCCCGGGGCGCCGGGCCAGCGCTGAGCTCCGGGCCCAGCCCTGCTGGAAACCTCCGCCCGCGGGAAAGGAGGGGGAGCCCGGGGGAGGCAGGCAAGGAGGCGGGGGAGCGCGGCCCCGAGGCGGGAGTGGCCCTGCGCGGTGCGGGGAGGCCGGGCCAGCTCCGGGAACCGCTGCTCCGCGGGGAATTTTCCCCTTGGCCCCCGCCTGGGCCCCTCTTATCCCGGGCGGCCGCGATGGACTCTGGCAGCGAGACTCACGAACTCAACGGGACGGCGGAGGGCGCGGAGTCGGCGGCCGAGGAGCAGGTGAGGGCCGGGGCGGCGGGACCCGGCGCCCGCTTCCTTCCCGGCGCCGTGTCCATCCCGCCGTGTCCCTCCCGAGGCCGGGTGGGACGGGGACTCCGCGAGGCGCGGTGGTGGTCGGTGCTGCGGGGCTATTGCTGGTTTCACCTGCCTTCCGCGCTCTCCGCGCCCTTCCTGCTGGGAGGCCGCTGCGCGGGTCCGCGGCCGGGCGCGGCCGGGCAGAGCAGCCCCGGCCGCTCCTGGCTCCTGCAGCTGTCATCTGTCACCAGGGCCCTCCTCACCCGGGGCCAGCCCGCAGCTCGCCGCACCTGCAGGGCTTTGTCCACCCAGCTGGCTCGGGGGAGGATATCCGCGCAGAATAAGCAGTTACAAAGCTAGGAGGAATTAGTGAAGTGGTCGTGCCTGGATGATTATTTTCCATACAGTAATCAAAATAAAAACAAGAATACCCAGCTTTTTCATACTATGTGTATTCGAAACATCACCAGACATCCTCACTGGGAAATACTCATCCGCATTCTGTTTAAGCATAAAGGATGTTGCAGAACATGCCGCTTATCTGAAGAAAACAGATGGGTAAAAAAATGTCTTTTATCTTGTTTTGGAAAGGACTAAACTCTAAAGGCAGCTTTTACTCCAGCCTAAGTCTCTGCCACACAGAAACCTTCTTCTAAACCCTCTTCTGGTGTCACTGGTGAAGCGTTCAGACTGACTGGGCTGATTGTATAGCACATCTGTCCTTCTTCCAACCCTCCCTCCCTGACAAACCCTTGGAGTCATGAATATGAAACCAAGAAAAATAAAAATCTGTTTTCAATAAATCCTGGAAATCCTACCTAAAGTTAATCAAGGCTGGGATATGCAAGTCAAACTGGTGGTCTGGAGTGGTTTCCTCTAAACCTCTGACTTCTCAGGAGTTCTCTCATTTTGTTGATGCAGCTTTGTGATTGCATCACAAGTACTCTTGATGGGTTTTTTTTTCCCCAATGTGGTCTGCTCCAAGAATTTTTCAGCAACTTTCCTGTTTTACTTCATCTTCAGTTGCAAGCAACCCTCATTTTGTTACATCTTTCCCATCAAAACTCAAGTTCTCAGTGAGTGCCATGTAAAGAATAAGCAGTGAGACATGCTATTCCATTGTTTTAAATGTATACAGTGGCACTTCAGTGAACTTCATAAACACTTTTTAAATTTTCCTACACACACACACAAAAGTATATGCAAGGTAAAACAGATGGGGACATATTTTTTAAAAATCCATCTCTGAATAGAACATACCTTTAAAAATCTGCCAGTGTTCACAATTCACACAAACAAAAGAATATCCTGGTTCAGCAGCCACCTAAACCTAGAGAGACCATCCACAGCTGCCTGGATCTTCTATATTGGACTCAAAAGTGTGTCTGCTTTGAGGAATTCTCACAGGCATTGGAACGTGGGTCACTCTTGTTTCCATCCCGCCCTTTCCAGCATCTGGGATGTCTGGATGTCCTCTCCTCAAAACAGACTCTCTTGCACACCTTTGCCACAGACCACTGCCTTCTCATACAGAAGAGCTTATATGAAATGCAGGTGCAGTTGTTACCTTCAAAGCAATCAAAGCATAAAAGTTTTAAAAAGACCAGTTAAGCTCTCCGTAGTTCTGAAAAAGTGGTGACACGGTGGTTTGATGTGGTTTATTTTTACTCCAGCATTAATTTGAATACATTTTATTAGCAGCTGTCAGGCTTTTGGAAGCAAGAAATTTCTTGCTTCTAGGAGTGGACTGGCGTGATGCACCCCATTGACTAATACACCTAGCAGAAGTATCTCATCTCTTCTTCAAAGGATCTGCTCATATAAATACAGATTATAACTGTTCTTTCATCCATCTAGTTGCTTTCCTTGGTCATGATCCATATTGAAACACTCTCCATCCACCATGTTGTAAAATCTAGTTTAGTGTTTCCAAGATAACAGGATGTGCTAGATGAAGGAGTTAAAGAAGAGCTATGAAAAAGGTGAACAAGAATTGGATAGTAGAAATAAACAGTTTTAATGATGTTATTCCTAAAAATGTGTTGAAGTCCATATATTAATTCAGGAGTAATTTGGAACATGAAAGTAATTTGAAACATGGCAGTTTCTTGGCATCATACTGCAAGTAACCAGCCTGTAGGAACTTGAAATTATTTGCTGCATATAGCCTGAAATGTTATTTCTCATTACTCATATCAAACTTAATTTGGAGTGTTCTGTATGCTCCAGATATTGATACTATTGGTGATAAGTTTTTGCTTGCATATTTTTTAAGTAGCTAGACTAAACAGTGTGTTAATCACACAACCATGCAAAATAGACAGTCCACAACCCAGTTGTGAGAAATAGTATTGTAAGACCAAATTACTGGAATGAGTAGTAATAATACAAGGCAAAAAAAAAAAATTATGCAGGAACAAACTTCTATTTAAATAGCTGTGTGAACAATTTAAGTTACTCCTTCATTTCACAAATTTAGTCATGAGATGTGCTGATTCTTTTACAGTAATTTAATTAGTAGAGATATTTTAACTGGATCCTGGAACCAGTACAGCTTTAGGAAAATAGGGCTTGGCCCTCAGTAGACTATACTTTTCCCTTTTTTAATATTAACTTTTTTAGCTCTCAGGGGTCAACATGATTGCCACAGTTTTTTTCTTAATGTAGTCATAGTTGCATGTTCTGTTTGTATAAAAGTGATTCTTCTTTAGCACAGGGTTTTGGAGCTGCTAGAAAATCATGATGTCTATGAAATACAAACACATGCTGAATTTTTCCTTTTTCCTTTTTTTTCTTTTTTCTTTTTTTCTTTTCTTTTTTTCTTTTTTCTATTTGCCCACAACCACAGCATGTAATTGCAGAGTTTTCACAAACTAGTTAATGTTACACTGGGTTGGTACTTAGGTGAACATGTCCTCCTTCTCCTCAATATGAAATTTCCATGGGAAATGAAACTGATGATTCATTCCAGAGCCAGGGGTAGGGGTATTTCTCTATTGCATCAGTGCTAAACTGAACAAGTGATCTAATGTTTTTTTGAAAGATAAGCCACAGAGTATCTTCTGAGGAGGTGTACAAATGATCCATTAGAGATAAGGAGGCCAAGAGGATGGTGAAGGGCCTGGGGAGAAGTCTTGGTCTGCTCAGCTGGAGAAGAAGAGGCTGAGGGGAGACTCACTGGGGTCAACAACTCCTTGTGAGTGGCAGAGGAGGGGCACTGGTGTCTTTTTGTGGTGATCAGTGATAGGACCTGCAGGAATGGCCTGGAGTTGTGTCAGGGAAGGTTAGGGTGGATCTCAGGGAAAGATTCTTCCCCCAGAGGGTGCTGGCACTGCCCAGGGAATGGGCACAGCCCCAGGGCTACCCAAAGCTTTCCAGGGATGCCCAGTGTGGGATTTTTGGGGTGTCTGTGCAGGACCAGGGGCTGGACTGGGTGGTCCCTGTGGGTCCTTCCAACTCAGCCTATTGTGTGATTCTGTAATCATGCATTATATGACTGATATGACTTAAAATATTTTTGTTGGAAGAATACTTTTTTTCTTTGTTGAATATTTTACCTGGTTGTTTTTAGATCGGGAAGATCTCTGAGTTGGAGGGGAAGTCTAACTTCAGAGTGGTCATATATGGCCCTTGGCAATTTCAGTGTGTAGGTGATGGAGATATGGATAGAAATTCTACAACTATAAGTATTATTAAATACTAGTGTCAAGTTGCTAGTTCAATCCTGTAACTGTAGGTTTGATCTTAGAAAAAAACAAAAGTTCTGAAATAGTGTTCTGTTTTAGTCCTGTGTTATTCCTTTAATGTCTGAACCATCTCTTTTTTGATTTAACTGGAATTTTTTCCAAATACAAAATTTCCCCTCAGAGATCTGGAAAAATTAGCCATGTCATATTTTTCTGAAAGACTAATACTTCAAAACCATAGTAAATTACTTAAACAAAATTGCTTTTTAGCATCTTTTTAACAGTTCTGATTGGTAGAACACAGTAAAGAGCAGCCCCACTAAGTTCAGTATGGCTCAGCTTTAGTTCTGTGCTGCTTCATTATTATTTAGCAAGTTTCCATTGTTTTATAATTCAGACTTATTCCTAAACACAAGATTTTCAGGAAGCTTGCTCTATGGCATTACAAACCCAGAGGTCATTCTCATCCATTCTCATTTTCAGCCAAGGCTGTTGGCCCACAAAATAACTAACCCCAAATAGAAAGAAAACTGCTGTAATCCTTTCTATAGCAATTTACTGTGTTTAGCAAAGACACTTTATTGTTTTCAAATATTTCTATTTTCAGTACTGTTTCCTTCCTGTTGAATCACCAGGTGGGACTTAGCTGGGATTCATTAAACTCAGCACCTAAGGACATTTCCTGCAGAGCTGCTTTTATTTGCTTTTTAATAAATGTAACCAATAAATCCTTTCTGTATTTCAAAGGGACTCTGTTTTTCTGGGTGTACCATTGAAATGGGGAGCAAAGCAAAGCAGACACAGAGTCTGTACTTAACCAGAGGGACTGTGAACCAGCACCATACAATCTTGGAGGGAAGGTTCCATCTTACAGAACCAAAAATGTGCCCATTTATGACATTGTAGCTTTATCCTTGCAGAGTGCAGTGCTCTGGGCAAGCAAAGAGCCCCTGCTTCTGTGAGGAGACCTAAAGTGGTACTGCCTGTGGGACAGCACCATGTCACTGTGAAAATTAGCTCTTCCATGGGATTCTTCCAGTCACAGTTGGAGCAAAAGCAAGAGGCTTTTCACTCCTGTCCTTTGTCGAACTGTGCAGAGAGTAGCAGGGCAGGTTGTTGTGCTGTGAGGCTGAAGCTTTGCAGCCCTAGGGACCTGAAGGTAGACAGGGAATACTGCAGGGAATGGAGTCCCATCTCCACATGCCTCTTACACACATGTGAACGCATGTGCTGGCTTTGCTCAAACTCCTTTGGAGACATGAACACAAGGGCTTAGCTTGTCTCTACCAAGGAATTTGAATGTTGAATGTGTGTGAGGAGGTGTTTTGGTTGCACTGAGACTGAAGCAGGTCTCATGCAATGCATACTGCTCTCTAGCCAAGTGACACCTGCAGGAAAAGCATTCTTTCACCTCCAGACATTCCACTGTCCCTCTCCACGGCCCTGTGGGTGATCACAGCACAGTGAGTGTTTGGTGCTGTGGGCTGCATACATTTCTGCATGCCTGGAATCCCCCTGATACCTTAAAGCCACATAACCATGTTCTACTGTAATTACTGTTGTACATACTGTCACTCTCCTGAGGTTAAGGCAACATCTCTTATTTCATTACCTGTGTGTATATTGCTGTGTAGCACACAGTCTGATCTTAAAAAGTGCCCATTTAGTACTACTTCATCAGCTTCAATACCTCTGGCAGTGGCCTTCAGCTTGCCCTCAGAAGACAAGGCTAATTTGCTCTTTTTTTTTTCAGATTTTTGTTTTATGGTTTTCTAGCATCAGTCAGGAGACAGGAAGTGAATGTTTCTAGGGTTTTCATGATTACAGGTCATTTTTCCTGGTGAAGGCAAGATCACAGGCTGAGAAAAACCTCTGACATTTGCTGCTGCCCTATTACACTCAGTCAGATATTTAGGCTTGTGATGGATGACAACATGTCTGCTGAACACAGGTCAAGTTTGGTATTTAAATGCCCTGAAAAAACTGGCAGTGTGTACATGAATATCTACCCTGTTTAAAAGGATGCTTTTAGGTCTGGACTGTGGCAAGCCTGGCTTGGGAGTTGATAATGTTTAGTGCTGCTGAGGAGAGTAATTCGAGGGTCTTCTGCATTTGAGCTAACCTGCAAAGTGAGACTCCTTTCACAGGAGTCTGGCAAGCAGGAACACATTTGGGCAGTAAAAATGTGTCTAAGAAGTAGGTTTAAAGAAGATAGCTAGAATAAGCTTACTTTTCATTTATTTGTCTATTATTTTTAAAGTCTAGAAGTAAGAGCAGAAATAATGAAATTCCTAACCTGTTCAGAGACAGCAGGATAGAGGATCACTTACTCTTCCTTCCTCGTGGAGTTGGGCAGCTAAGTCTAACCTAGTTACCCTAAGCTGCATCTAATCCATAGAGATATAGGCACCTCTGGGAGACAAGCAGTCAAATTTCAAGTCAGGTCACGTGAATCATCATCAGGAAACACTCATATATTTATCCCGTTGGGTTATCTAGCCCTAAGTTTGCCCTACAGTTGTTTTTTATTTTCCTGTTTGTTTGCAGAGCAATTAAAAAAACCAAACAAATGAAAAACCACCCAAAACCAGCTGATGTGAAAATGGGGAAAGAAAGATTCTCTTATAAGTGGGCAATTATTGGCAGCAACACATCATATGACAGTTAAGTGGAAAAGCATCTGTGTACAGGTGTATGGATGGCCCTGGACAGTGGCATGGTGGAGGAAGGAGTAGCAAGGAAAGGAGAGCAAGCAAAGCTCACACAGTGGCCAACTTCACCTCAGTCCTTAAAAGAAGACTCAAGAGCAGTGAAGGAACTTTTTGGGTATGTAAGGAGAGAAAGTGAATTTAATAAATAGCTGTATTCTTAAGTGTACCTTCAGGAGTTAATTAGTCACAACAACCTGTTGTTTGCTGGATTGTGTTACAGTGGTTTTCCCCTCCCAACTTTTTCTGTGTGTAAACTTTTCAGCCTTTCCAGCCTCTTCATTTCCCAGGGTAGGAACATGCTGACTGTTTAGACTGATCCTATAGGCAAGCTGGAAAAAGTGCCAAAGGGCAGTAGAAGCAGGCACTGTTTTCTGCTCACCTTCTGGAGGCCAGGGGTAACAGTGGGAAAGCTGCACAGAAGATTTCAGCACTGCTGTGGCTCTGCTCGTATAATCACAGGAATCATTTGATGGGCCAAGTGATGTCTCACTGACCATCAATTAAGAGACATGAATAACCATTTTCCTCTCTGCTGGCTCCAGCACAGAAGGTGGCAGTGGTTCCAAAGGAACAGACCCATCAACATCAACCACTACGCCAACAAGAAGAGCGCGGCTGAGAGCATGCTGGACATTGCCCTGCTGATGGCCAATGCCTCCCAGCTCAAAGCTGTCATGGAGCAAGGGCCCTCCTTTTCCTTCTACATCCCGCTGATCATTCTCATCAGTCTGTCACTCACCCTGCAAGTTATGGTGGGAGTGCTCCTGATATTCCTTGGTAGGTAGCAACAGCAAGAACCACTGACTTGTATTTTTCTTATAGGACACAGCCTATAAGATGGCAAATATACACACCTTTTTAAAAAGCCTTTATCTCAGAACCAATTCAGGTTAGAATCACAGAATCATTTAGGTTGGAAAAGACTGGTAAGATCATCTAGTCCAAAAGTTAGCCCAGCACTGCCCTGTTCACCACTAAACCATGTACATAAACATCACAATTGCACGTCTTTTAATTATCTCCAGGGGTGGTGACTCAACCACTTTCCGGGCAGCCTGTTCCCAATGCTTGACAGCCCTTTCAGTGAGGAAATTTTTCCTAATATCCAAAAATATAGATTTTCTCTTGAAACCATAAAAGTACTGCAACAACGGGAGGAAGGGCAACTTTATGTGAAATCTTCAATTTTTATCAACTTCCTCCTACTCATTTGCCCATGCTATGAATAGTTTTTCCTCCAGAAAGCCTGAGGAGGAAGGAAAGTTATGAAATACTGTAAAAGAAACATCAGTAGGCCAGATAGAATAATGCAGTCTATCCAGTTTCATAATAATGTTTTTATCAAGACCTGTTACTTAATCTTATGACTGAAATGTATTTCTTCCATAGCATATAAGAAAATACTGTGAATGTGGATCTCCAAAAGGGAAGTGAAAGTCAAAATGTCCATTGTCATGTTAATGTGGCATGTTGTCTTTAGCTTGGCTATGTTGCAATCAAACTGCATCTACCATTGCCCACCTGGAATAAATTATACTGCCACTGGTAGGAAACAGCTATGGATCATTTCTGCTAATGATATGGGATCACTTATTCTCATAATGTTTTTCAAATGTCATCCTTTACCTTAGTGGGAACTGACCTTGGGCCTCATGTAACTGAAAAGAGTTCACACATGGCATGAAAAAAAAACCAACCTGTGGATTCTGGCAGGTGTGGGAAGTGAGTAATAGAAAAATCAGCTAAATACTTCTGTGTTCCTCGGTTGAAGGCATCTCCCTGGTTGCTTCAGCAAGCTTTGAGGCTGTAAACAAGCTCCCTTCTGTTGGGCAGTAATTTCTCAGTATATGCCGAGATACTGCTTTTTAATGCTTGTTTCTGCAAGACACTGCTGAAACAGTTTAAATTGCTGTTAAGTTATGGGCCACATGTTCCATTTGTTCGCTGGTTGGAGACAGGGAGAACACACATACCTCAAAGCTCCATGCGACTAACAGCATGTTTTGGTGTCCAAACCTAGTATATATAGGGAATTTGAAAACCCTGGTCTCAACTGCTGATTGGTCTGATCCCCACACAGCCCACCTCCTGACCAGTGAGATGTCTGCAGCTTAGGATGGAATGTAATTGGTTGAGGTTCCTGTCTGTCAACCCAGGGGCCAGTTTATGGAACCAGTTGGGTTTCTTATTTATAGCCAAATTAATTGCCCAGTACAAGCCAGATTGTACTGTGACAAATTGCTGTCAACTTTATCTTTGTCTCATTGAGGGTAACAGAGACCTTGGCTTATGGTGATGCACTCTTGGAGCAGTGTTGTCCTGCTGAGGTTGAAGACAGGAAATAGGACACGAAGGTATGAAGGTGCAGGCATCAGAGCAAGAACTTGCTTTTCACAATGTATATTTTCTAGTTTTTGGGTTTTGGCTTGCAGGAATAGTTTGTTTCTGTCCAGCCATGAAATTCTGTTTCTTCAAGTCTGTGCCACCATCCAGTTTCTTTCCTTGAGTCAGGGTTTTATCCTGGAAGCTACCTGCTCTCACAGTTTCTACTAGGTATTAAAAGCTTTTCCTCCTTCTAAAGATCCTTTCCCAAAAACAATGTGAGAAATGTTCAGCAAACTTGTCCTTGGAAGTGATTTGGGGACCTTAACTTTTTGGAAGAAAAGCAAAGAATGTCTTGAAATAGTTTCAGTGGCATGAAATCATAGTAATCCACTATAATAAAATACTTGAAGAATAACTGTTCTTAAGAATATTTCCACAAACACCCTCATCTTAAGTGCTATAATTACAAAGATGGGATTACTGTAATTCTACTTAAAAGTTTAGAGCTCTTCCTAAACTGACAAGTACTACTTGTCTTCTCTGACCCTCCTTTGGACAAAGGGACAGCTCTGAAAGTGACAGTTTGCCTTTCAGTGTGATTGCTTTTAAATCACATAATAGGTCAGGCCAGCATTGCCTTTCCATTTTTATCCAGCTGTCTCAAATGCTCTTATCCCATGTTTCAGAACTAATGATTCATTTTCATTTATTCTGCATTCACATGGCAGTACTAGAGTCCTTCCAGGTCCTGTGGGGTGCAAGCATCCACATGCTTCCAGATGCTTTACATCTTTTTTTGTGTAAGCTCATTTTAAGGTTGAAGTACTACTGAACATAAATCATTTCATGCCTGCAGTAGTGTGCAGTGGCTTCCCAGGGCAGTTCCCCCACACGGCTCTTGGCCTGTGATGTTTGACTACACTGTGTTAGCACACAGGACTTGAGCAGGTGCTCAGAATTCCTTGAAACCAAAACATCATTATTAGGGATCCCAGGTGAACCTGGCTGTTAGCACTTCAGCATCATGAGTGTGTTTGCAACCACTTAAGTGCTTCAACAGCAAGGGATATTGGTTCAATGGTTCACTTCTGCTGTATGGAACAGGGTGATGATGGTTCAAGCAAGTAACAAGATTTATTTTGTGTGGTAGCTGTATGTCTATGTATGTATAAGCTGTATGTCTATGTATGTGCCTATCAGAAGGAGCTCTAGGTTTTTTGTTGCTGTCTGGTATAAACTTTCTCTCACATATTGTGTACATGCAGACACAAGCTCCAGTGATTTATGCCTTGAGAACTTGGAGCCCCAACAGACAAAACCCATTCTCAAAACATGCTCCATAATTCATCAGCACTCACTCCATCAGCATCAAAGGAATGTAGCAAGGGTCTCAGCTGCCGGAGAGCAGAGACAGGAAACGGTTGGGTTTTCACATGGTGTTTCAGTGGGCATGATAGTATTTGGTCAAAGTTGGACCTGATGACCTTGGAGATCTTTTCCAGCCTTAATGATTCTATGATGCCAGGCAGATGCCCCAGACTTCTTACTATCTTAAACCAAACCTATTATCAGCCCAATGTAGCTAACTTGTATGCTATCACGAAGCCTGCAATCAAAGCTTACACTACATTAATGCTTGTGTGAGCCTCCCTCACTCCCTTTAGCAGTTCAACCGAAAAACAGCTGCAAGAAACAAAGGAAAATGTTTACACAGCAGATGCTCTCTGTAGAAAGGACTGCAGCTACACTACTCTGACATCTCCCTCTGTTTAATAGATAGAGTACCCTTGCTTTCTAAAAACAGAATCAGGGCAAAGGCAGGGAGTACAATGGAATACAAGCTGGGGAAGGACACCAGTACAGAAAAAATCCAGCACTGGTAACGAGATTTGTAGCATTTTAACTAGGAAATTTAACTTAATCCTGTCAGGGCTTTAAGCTTCAGGTATTCAAGACTGAAATAATTTTTAAATGCTTAACGTCTGCAACAAAGTTAGGCTTCAAAACATCAAGAACTTGAAAGATTTCTCGTGATGTTTGTGCATCCATTACTTCCCATGTGTCTCCACAGAGATTAGATGCTAATAACTGGAAGTTAATAAGCTCCTTGTGGTTACAGACCTTCCCCTTAGCACTTTCACTGACACTGCAGAATCTGACTTCCCTTTTAAATATGATCCAAATAGCTTAGCATAACTGCAGCAATATGCAACCTTTTATTCTGGATTTTGAAATATGCATATTATTAAACATTTTTTTCTCTTTTCTCTTTGAAGTAAAATATGACCTTAACAACCCTGCAAAGCATGGAAAGCTGAATTTCCTCAACAACCTTGCAACTGGACTGGTATTCATTATAGTAGTCGTTAATATTTTTATCACTGCCTTTGGAGTGCAGAAACCAGTTGCTGAGCCAGCATCAAGACAGTAAGGACCAGGTGAGTGTGATCTCCTGCAACATGAGTATGGCATTCAGGAATGCAGGGCACACTGGGGCATTTTAGAAACAGCCACAGGCTGATCTGTACTGTTCAAGTTCTTGCAGATACCTGAGCTCACTTCCCATTAGTGCAAAAGCAGAAGCTGCTGGGAACTGGTAAGTTATTACAATGTGTTTGCGAATATGGAGTTCAAAAGTTGATGTCAGCACATGTGTCACCCGTAGGAAGTGTAAGAATTGTCCTGGCCTAGCTACTCCTTTTCCTTGCTGCTGACTGAGACAATAAGGGAAATAATGTTGTTCTGCTTTCTCCAAATGCCTCTGCTTTTTTTAAGGAAGGTTTGCATCCAGCCTGTTACTTAACACTGAAGACAGTCTTGTTTCCAAGTAGCTAGGGCTGTTAAATCTGACATGTAACACTGCACATGCTGGAGCCTCTGAATTCCTATGCTGGCTCCAGATCGTGTGGCTCCTCTGTCCTCCACAGGGTAGGGCTTTGCTCTGTGGGAGTCTCAGCACTTCAGATGTGGCCATTTAGGACAGTGTTGTTGCTCTTACTTGCACTTGCAGCTTTGTTCTTTATTTATACAGAAGGATAAATATTGGAATTGTGGGGATCAAACTGGGTATCTTCCTAGCATCATAGCTATGATGAGCAGTTTGGGAGGAGATAAACCTAAATTATAGGCTTGTAATGCAAGAAGCACCATGATCAGCATCTGCCTTTAAAATAGTACTGCTAAGTCTGTGCATGCCAACATTGCTCTGGCACTTGGTCTCCGAGATCTCAGCCCAGGGTCAGAGACCTGCTGAAGAAGGAATGACTGGGCTGACAGGCCATGGTTGCACTCTGTACTACACAGACAGCCCGTGCAAGTAACATTACTGCTTTGTGCAAACTTCTACAGGAAACCCTTTCTCCATGAAAAAGAAGATAAAAGGCCTTTAAACCATTAATCTGCAACAAGAATGGGAATCAACCCAAAATTTATCATAAGTCAAAACAGCATGGGAGCAAATCAGTGTAAAAGAATACCAGGAAAATGAAAAACTGCAGTAATTTATATGAGGGTGTGGCTGTAATTTTCTGCTTTAACAAAAATCTGTGAAATTCTGGCAGTGAAACAAGATACTTTTAATGCATTTTCTGGTCACAGTCACTACAAACAGACTTATACATATTTAATTTTAACAGCAAAGAGCACATAGATTATCTGAGCTATTATCCAAAATGCAGGTAGAATGTTGACTTCAGCAGTATATGTTAAAGCAGTACTGAAGCACTAACCCCAAAATTACACTGGCAAAATCTAGAGAGCTGCATGAAGGATTATTGGAATTTTAGCAGCCTTCATGGGACGAAACACACAATATCGGGGGCAGAGGTAGAGACAAGGGTGTGAAATAGGCATGAGGAAGCTCAGAACAGAACCAGCAGCTGTGGGCTCCTGCCTCCATGATTTCACACATGTAGTTTCTTAATTAAACTACCAAATGTGGTGTCCAGAACCTATTTTTGCTGCAGACTTGTTAAATGTGAAAGTTCTGTGTTGCTTTGGAACATTAAAGCTGTTGTTTGCTCATTTGTACCCATTGCCCTTGCTAAAAACATCTGATCATCTGCATGTAACCTGAAAATTAAGTGGTTTTCAGTCTGTTGCCACAGTCTCCTCAAACCCCTGAGAGAAGTGGGTGGCCACTATGTCCTGGCTTCACCTTTACTATTAGGCACCCTTTTGCACAGAAAATTTAATTCCCCCTTTAAAGCAAATGTGTCATTCACAATAATTCCTGTATCACTAAAATATCAATGTCTTTGTGTTTCAGAGACCTGGAGTATTCATTTTAGATGCCATTTGCAGTTGAGCCAATTACACTGGACACGGTGGGGAAAGAAAAATTATTTTAAGATGCTGGACACACCAAGCAGCTTTCTCAAGCTTCCAACACACTTGTATACCTGAAATTTTCCCATGTGTTATTTAAACTAAGAAAAGGTTAGCTTTTCCCCAAGGATGCTGTTTTTCTGGAATATTGGCATTTCAATTTCTGAAGAAACTTTTTTTTTTTATCAGAGAAGTAGCATAAATTCATGAAACAAGGAAATATCATCTAGTAGCATTTCACAGGACTTCTTTTTGCATGCCTTTGGTATTTGTGGCAATTTGTCATTTCCATGATGGTAAGAAATGTCAGGCCTTTGATTCTGGCATGGTCACATTGTCCTTTATTTCACAGCTTGGCACCAAACCCATGTACTCTGTAGCCCAGCAGGGCTCTTCGGTTGCAGTGTATAAAGGTAGCTGTGCTTTTGCACAGCTTTTTGTTTGCTTTTTTTTCCACTCGAGCTAAAGGAAAGATGAGACAAACAGAAATAAGCAGCATTCTTTTGTCTAGCTTTGTTCACAGGTAATCATTTGTATTGTTTCTTCTGTACACACTTAAAATTTTCTGTCCTTCATGCACAGACACAAATAACCTAACTTAATGGTTTCTTACCATGAACTGCTATTCTGTGTCTTCTGTGCATTATGTTTATTTGTTTGAGTCATAGAGTAGTTCGGATTCAAGGGACCTTTAAAGGTCATCTTATTCTACCCCCTGCCCTGGGCAGGGACACCTTCCACTGTCCCAGGCTGCTCCCAGCCCCATCCAACCTGGCCTTGGGCACTGCCAGGGATCCAGGGGCAGCCACAGCTGCTCTGGGCACCCTGTGCCAGGACCTCACCACCTTTATTGTAAAAGGTTCTTTCTTATATCAGATTTCTGGAAACTGTATTAGAAGTGCCAGCTTTTCTAGGCTCAACTGGTAAACTAGAGGATCCAGGGTAAACTTTATCCGTTAAATTAGTACCAAGTGCCTGTCAGCAGCAATTCAAACGGCAAAATGAACTGAGTTTTTCTCTCTAGTTTCCTCTCTCTCTTCCCATCGATTGCTGCAGTTTTATTTCTTTTATGAGTTTATGGCTAAAACAAAATAAATGTTTAAGTTTTTATTTTTAAATATATATATAGAGTTAAAAATATTTTCTAGTTTCTTACCTGCTGGCTCAGGGGCTTACACTTTTGTAAATACACTATTGCTAATAATGATGTAAGTTACAAGAATTTCTTCAGCAAAAACATTTTAGTCATTTTATTTCCAAAGTACCATACCTGCAGTCAGAAGAATCTGGATTTTCTAGGTTGCACTTATATGTAGATGCAAGATGCAGATTTGTATGAATCAATTTTCTTGGCATCAGTTTTCAAAAGCTCCTTTGTACATAAGCATAGAAGATTGACTTCATGTGTCTCATCTCATTTACAGGTTTTATTACTGACCTTTCTCTTTGGTTATGTCTCAAAGCCTATTGGTGTACCAGACTTTAATGTATATGTTCTGTAAGAAACAAATCAAACTCGTGTGATTAGTAATGGAATAGACATTCTTTTTTATTTTCTAATTGTCTTTTGTTACTTCATTTCTATTGTAACATGTACTTAACCACTATCCAGCAGGCAGTGGTTTAATTTTGAAGGCTGTACTAATGTAAACATAACTCAGAACAAGTTCTGAATGAGGCACGTAGGACAACTTTCTTCCTGTATTTATTTTTCAAAAACCACCAACTGTAGGACTCTTCATGCCCACTCGTGGCTGTCACACTTCTGATGCTGCTTCCCATGTCTTTTATTGTGATTAAGTAAGATTTGCAAAACATTTTCAGACATAAAATCTGTATTTTAAGTCTTTGAAGCCTTCAGAGTTGATGTATTTTTTAGCAGACAGAAGCATCTGCAAGTTGGTTTCAAGTATAAATAATTTAATCACAGGATTATTATTCTTTTAAGTCAGGTGCTGCTTTAAAATTTGGGCAAGTATCTCAGAGGGGCAGCAAACAAATACATGTGTTTGACTCATTCTTGGACTCGTTCCTTGGGTTGCTGTGCTTTTTCAGAGTTCTTGGTTGGAGGCAAATATCTCTTTTAAAAAGAGGTCATCAGTAATGAAGTGAGATTAATTTTCCAGGCTGTGTGGGGAGCAGTTCATGCCAGGTTAGCCGTTTGCACCAGTTTAATAAGCTCTGGGCAGGGTAAGCACTGCTCATGGTCCTTCTCATTAGTCCCTTCAGCATCCAGAATAGTTGGCTGGGATTTTCAGCGTAGCTGTACTTACTGAAGCAGGTGACAACAACCATATTTACTGGAACTCACTCTAAGTATGTCTTCTAAACCAGGTAACTGCTGGAGCTAGTTCTGATGCTGAATCTTATATAAAATGGGTCAAAGCAGAAAACACTATCCTGGTTTCTGTATCCCCTCAACTGTCGTTCAGGTGTTTGAATTAACAACTTCTTTACCCTCAGTGAGTTTGCAGATGGCACTAAAGTTTCTGGGAGTATTGATGTGCTGTCAGTCAGGAAGGCTCCATAGTTTTGTTTGGAGAGGCTGGATCCGAGCCCAGTGATCTGAGGTTAAACAAGTCCAAGTGCCAGGTCCTATCCTTGGGTCACAACAGCCCCTGAAGCTCCAGGCTGAGCCAGAGGAGCTGGAAAGGGCTGGCAGGAAAGGTCCTGGTGGTGCTGGTGGCAGTGGCTGAACAGGAGCCCAGGTGGGCAAGAAGGACCAGGGCACCTTGGCCTGTTCCAGCCCTGGTGCGGCAGCAGGGCCAGGGCAGTGCCTATCCCCCATGCTGGACATTCTGGGGTCAGTTTTGAGCCCCTCGCAGCAAGAAAGAGCTTGAGAGGCTGGAGCGTGTCCAGAGAAGGGAATGGAGCTGGGGAAGGGGCTCATCCTGGAGAAGAGGAGGCTCAGGGGGGACCTCTTGGCTCCGCACAACTCCCTGACAAGAGGGGGTAGCTGAGGGGTTCTGGCTCTGCTCCCAGGAGACAAGGACAGAAGAAGACAGCATGGCCTCAAACTGTGCTAGGGGAGGGTCAGGTTGGGCATTGGGAGGAATTGGACAGCACTAGTTCCTGGAGCAGATGGTGTTTCTGATAAGCCCAAGAGAAGCTGAGCCCAGGTTCATTGCTCAGATCCTGGTGCAGCTTGAAAAGGGGCCGGGGGAGGCATCACCAGCAGGACCCCACCACTCAGCAGTCTTCCTGGAGCTCACTAGTATTCACAGGTGATCAACAAAACCAATCCAGAGACAGAAGCTGAGACATCCCTAGAGAAAGAAGTAAACTGAAATAAATGAGAGAAGGTACTCCAGGAAAAGATAAAGAACAACATGGTCACAGCAGGCCTTAGGGCAGTTTCCATCAGAGGCTGGGTTGCATCCAAGTGCTTCAGGGTGATGTATCAGCTGTACCTGGAGTTTCACTCCTCTCCCCATCACTAAGTATTCCCATCCTGACACTCACAGTGGTGGGAGAGCAGATGGGGCGGAAACATGGGCAGAGCTGACCGAACAACTTGAGCTGATTGATAGCAGACAGCTCTTGGGCATGTCAGGAAGCAAACACACATTTTTGGAAGTACATCTACAGCAAAGAGACAGGAAAAAATGCGGTATATAAAGGCTTCAGCTGTTGGCAGGAATTTCTTATTTTCACACTGATCAAATTATTTTCACTGTATGAAATCACGAATTCACAGACTCACTGAATCATTTAGGATGGAAGAGATATCAAAGATCATTGAGTCCAGCTTTTGACTGACTCCACCTGTAAATGCCCCCCCTCATCCTCGTTCCTGATATTCTCAGTCATGAAAACATGAGACCCGTGCCTGTGGGAAGGTCACTGACGTGTCAGTGCAGGATAGGGTGTGAAATACAGGATACAATCTTTTCAAAATTATATCTAACCAATAATTACCCAACTTCCTAACAGGGTAGTTACAAAACATTGCCTGCCCTCCTATTGGATACTATGGGTTATTTTGATGAGTCTGTTGAAGGTCTGTTTTCATGGTTCATTTTATCTCCTTGTGTTCTCATAATGAGAACTATTTACTAACCTGGCTGCCTTCCCAGGAAGAGTGCCACAGCTACCAGTCAGAAAGCTCCTCATCAGGCAAGTCAGGCTTTGTCAGAAATGGAGATGGCAAAAACTCAGTTTCCTCTTTCATTCAGCTTCCTTCTTGATGTTTTCTACTCTGCTTTTTTCCAGTCTTCCAGCCTAGAAGTTGCCCCACCCCCTTTTTAATGGTACAAGTTATGACTAGTTGGGAGGTGAGTGTAAATATGGTGCCATGCTAGGAAGCACCACACTAGGACTACTGAAACATTGCAAAACATTTTCACTGGTACCAAAAATATTTGAGAATTAATCAGTTTCATCACCACCCAACATTGCCACAGATTTCTGGCATGAAGGATGAAAATAATCTAAACTCTTGGGAAGGCCTTATGTTTCAGATTTGTTTTGGACTTGTAGAAGATATGGAGGGATACAGCTATGTGTCTTTACCCTGAAATAGGAGTTATTTTTTTCTGTGTCAGAAAACAGGATTCACCAGGCATGCCAGGTAGAGCATCACTCAGGAAATAAATGACTGTATCCCCTCAGGCCTCTCCACCCCTTGTAGAGTTTCAAATCCTGGCAACATGACTTGGGAACATGACTAATCTTTACAAATTGTGTGAAGCACACTAACTGGGGAGCACTGGGAGCAAGTCACAGTGCGCCTGTGTGGGTCACTGCTCTCCTTCGTACGCCATAAAAATTCTTTCTTCTCCATGCTAATAGAAAAACAGGTTTGAAAGCCCAACATCCCACAACTGCAATAGCAGGATGCCTCACAGCCTCTTGAAGCAACCCTGGTTGTCACACAGAGGTCCTGCAATCTTCAAACCTGATGTCACTAATAATGTTTTGCTTAATTTGCATGTTCTCTTCACTTGCAGACACAGAGTGTGATGGAATGATGTGTCTTGTTCATCTTTCCAGAGTCAGGACCAGCCTAGACTCATCCAGCTCAGAATGAGGAATTTGCTTCCTACTTGTTTTCTTATTGACTCTGAGATCACCAAGATGAGTTTCATTTGTATCTCACAGGGCTCCTGGCTTGGGAATACCCTGAAAGATATAATTGTAATTATTTCATAGAAAACTGCTATCTAAATTATTACTATTAATAATAATAATTATTTGATATAATTTTACCTGTTAAACCTGGACTTTGAATTTGTTTCCAATCTGATGTAAGTTATTTCCCTACCTCCTGGCAGAATAGAGCTCTTCCAGAGCAAAGTATCCATGTTAAATTGGCTGTGAGCCAGCTCCAGAGGCAGAGGTGAAACAAAATCCAGCTGTATGCAACCATTGTGGACCAGGAATATTTAAGAGGCACAGGCATCATATTTCCAGCCTTCACTAGGAGCTTTTAAAATGAATTAGTTCGGAGCCCACTGAGGAAAAACAAAGTTAGCTCTCTCTGTTTCAGTGGAGCGTTCAGCAGGGAGCAGCCACAGGGACTCAGCAGCCCTGCCTGTGCCAGCTGTCAGTGAGTGAGGCACCACAGCATGACACAGAGCGGGACAGCGCCCACAGGGCTGGAGCACTGGAAGACCCCCAGGGTAGCTAAAACTGGCTCAAAAGGATAAAAAAAAAAAAGCCACCTGAGTGTGATTAAATATTTTGCTATGGAGAAGAGTGGATTTGCTGTAAATCGTGCTGTCAGAACATGTCTCACCTGTGATTTATCCAGGCTTCATGTGCAGTGGCACTCTGGCTGCTGGCACCCGACTTCACCTGTTACCAGTTCATGAAGTACAGACTGAGTCTTAAAGGTTTTTGCTTTACCAGATACAATGTTATTAATGATTTATCAATACCACCATGGCAGAAAGCTTTTCCTTGTGACCACAGTGGAAAGTGCAAGGGCAGCTCAGGATTCACCCAAAATGTTATTTTATGCCAAAGCAATGGTGCTGAGTTAACTGGAGCAGTGTTGCTGCATACCTGTCTCATCTCCCGCCTCTTGATTTCTTTCTGTTTGGCTCTAATAACATCCCTGTGAAGTGGGTGAGATTAAGATAGAAAATTACCCCCTTCCCTAATTCCTATTAATTTTGTAGTTTGATCAGGCTGTTGTTTCACTCATATCCAAACCTTGGTGATGTCCCTGATGCTCTGCTCTGGTCCCTTCACCTGGTGCCTGGCACAAGGCTGCTCCTGCAGTGGCAGAGGGTTAGGGCACAGGGCTGGAACAGGCCAAGGTGCCCTGGTCTTTCTTACCCACCTGGGCTCCTGTTCAGCACCGCACTGCCCAGCACAGACACCAGCACAAGCACAGCCCCCCACTAACAGCTGCTCCTCTCCCCAGAGGGCCACAAACCAGCAGGCAAGGAGGGGAGTCCAGTTCCCACTCATCAGGGAGTCAGCCCACAGAAGGGCACAGGATGAAGAGGATCTCTCCTCCTGATGAAGTTATCTCAGAGATCCTCCTCCATCACCACCCAGGCCCTGTTCAACAGAATCCAATGCCAAGCTCTGGGTCTCCTCTTGTCCCTAGAGTCTTGCAGCAGCAGATACAATCCTGGCTGTGGGTCAGTGACTCTACCTAAGGTTTCAAATTGTGTCAGGGGAGATTTAGATTTGATATTAGGAAGTATTTCTTCATGGAAAGGGCTGTCCAGCCCTGGCAGAGGCTGCCCAGGGCAGTGGTGAAGTCACAATTCCTGGACATGTTTTAAAAACGTGGAAATAGCACTTTAGGACATGGTTTAATGATGAACGTGGTGGTGCTGGCAAGTTTGCCTTAGTTATATTACGAGCTCTTTTCCAATCTTAACAATTCTATGATCCCATGATTCTCCTGCTACAGCAACAAGTTCCTTTGGTGGGATGCTCAACACTGGTCATAGAGGCACCGGGCGAGCAGTTCCCCCTTACCCAAAGGAACAAACCAGTAACAAAATGGTCTACATGGTTTTTCTTACATGAAGTCCCTTTTTGGGTGGTCCAAGTAGCACTTCAAATTAACTGTGTGTCAAAGTCCCTTTACAGCAAGCACCAGTGTGCCTTCAAGGCTTCATGGGCAGTGACCCTTGGAACTCCCAAAATGACACAAAATCAGGAATTAACCCAAAGACACCCAGTGTCTTTGAACTGATGAGTCCTGTTCAACTCCAGATCCCTAAACCAGCTAAGCCGAAAAACTGCAGTTTTGAAATCAGGTGAAAAATCAGGTTAAAAATCCTGGTGCAAATACCCAGAAAAGTTTAACCATGAGAGGCTAGAGCCCAGAAAGGGTCAGTCAGCAGACACAGGAGGGCAACAACCAAGGGGCGCTTCTGCAAGGAAGAGCAGTGCATTAACTACAAGAAAAACAGCAGCATTCTTCTCTTGGATTTTGTTTCAATTTAATTGACAGCTTCACCCCATTAAAAAAAGAAATACATTATTTTTCTGAAGGATTAAAGAAGATGTACATTCATAGAAATTAATACAGGACACAGGCCCTGTGAAGTGCAGCAAACTGATTCTTGCCAGCACAATCAAGGCATGGCATAACATAGAGTAACATCTGTGTACACAGAATGGCAGGAGAAAGCATCCACAATAGCACATTTTGACCAAATATGTTTCCAATTTATTACAATATAAAAAAAAATGACAAATTAAAGAAATAAAAGGAATAACTTTGTCTTGGCAAAGGCACTTTTAACTGCAAACTCCATCCAGCAGCTGTAAAGCAACCCAGCACATCCCAGAATGAATCACCACTTACATTCCCACTGCAGCTTGTCAGACACATCATCCTTCACCAAGTCCTTTAAATAGCAGTCTGGCTTTAAACAGAATTGTGCCAATTTTTTGAAGCATCTATCACTTTGCTTCCCAGCTCTCTGCACACAGACAGTCCCATACTTGGCCTTAACCATTTCCATGGCTCAGGCCAGTACCTGCTTAGCTCCTGTATATTCCTGCCTACAGCATGGCAGCCACAGTGTTCACAAGGATGGCCTCCACCCTCGGCATGGAGCCACCTACAACCCACCAAGGACAACTTCTCTGGACAAATGTTTATAAATGATTACCAGCACAGTTTCAGCAGCGAAGGTCAAGCTGTTCTTGATTTGCCAGGGAAACCAGAATTCTGCAGCTAAACAGCTTCATCCAAGACCCTGCTTGATTTATTCCTGTCTGTAACACTGTTTGCCCAGAAGGACCTGACTCCCATGCAGATGCACATGTGCTTCCTTCAGGAGCTGAAAAAGGAATTATCACTGTCCATATGTGCTGCATAGATGTACTTGCAGAGAAGCAAGCTCCTGAAAGAAAGTCTAAGAATATCTCCCAGCCTGTGCACATGCCAATTATATAGGCAGCCTGACATTCACTGTTCAAATTAATAACTGGCACTAATGAAGGAACAGGTTGTTTTCTATCCTTTGCTGTCACATCCATTAACACTAGGATGAATCCAGACTCACTTTTTCTTTCTCCTTCCAGCTCTAACTCTTGGCATAGCTCATTCTGGATAATTTTTTTCTCTGATATCTTCATCTCAAGCAACCTCAGGAAGGGAGGAAAATATAGCCCTAGCCATAGTAAATTTTCTTGTACCATACTGAAAAAGAATTCTTCCCCCAGCCTTGGCACAGGTTGCCCAGAGAAGCTGTTGCTACCCCATTCCTGGAAGTGTCCTTTCAAAGCTCTCTAGTAGTTTAGTATCTTTCTAATATTGTGATGCCCAAACTACCCCCAGCACTCGAGGTGAGGCTGCCCCAGTGCACAGCACTGAGGGACAATCTCCTCCCTGGTCCAAGTGGCCATGCTGGGCGTGGTGCCCCCCAGAACAGGGATGTCCCCCATGGCTGCTAGGACACTGCTGACCCATTTCCAACTTTCCATCCACCAGGATTCCCAGGTCCCTTTGCATGGTGCTGCTCTCCAGCATCTCATTCCCCAGCTTGTCCATATATCCAGGGTTGCACCATCCCAGGTGCAAAATCTGGCATTTTCCTTTGTTGAACTTCACTGGGTTGGTGATTGCCCAGCCCTCCAATTTGTTCGGGTCTCTCTGCAGAGTCTCCCTTTACTTCACTGGGAAAGAGAAAGCTAAATGAATCTGGAACACTTCCTTGGTAGTCTGAAGTGCTTCAGGTCAGACTTTCATTCCACTTCCTGGAACACCCCATGAGCTGGGAAGCAGCATGCACCAGCTCCAGGGCATTCAAACCAGGGCCGGCAGCTGAGTTTGACCAGGAACGAGGCATCAACAGGGAATCAGAAGGCACAATGAACACAAGGCACACATCAAGGGAACTGGCCCCCATAAACTTTTCATAGGTGCCAGTGCCCATCTGAGCTCAGACAGTGACTATAAAGGATCTAGACAAAACAGTTCTGAGATAGAGATCCATTTCTTAGTAAGGGCTTTGAGTGTATGTGTTGAAGTTCTTTTCTTAAATTAATTCTCACAAAAAACAAGCCAAAGTTCTTCCAACAGTTGTGATCCTTCATTCTGGTATAGAAAACACATGCAAACATGGCTTCAGACCCATGCTCACTTAAGAGATCACTTTAAAGCTTGTAATAAAAGTTTTTTTTATACAAACAATAAATACTTCAAGCATTTACAAAAATAAACGGTCCATTCCCATAAAGAAGGACATTTACAGCTGAAATTCTGAATACATCTGAAGGTAAGGCAATTATTGATTAAGCTAGTTAATAAAACCTTTGGTATGAGTACAGGACATTTTTTATGCACTGTTGACTTCCTTTGGCCGGTGTACTGTACAGACAAGCAAATAGACAGCTTTTCCTTAATTTTTTGACATGTCTTCCAAATACAACATACAAATATTTCTAACATGTCTTCCTATGATAATAGGAGAAAAACCCAAGATTCTCCTGGCTCTTCCTGTGACTTGCGTTTCTAGAACGGAATGATGAGAGGAAAAAGAGAAAGTGAATACAGATTTCATTTTAGCTAGGAAGCAACATCTACAAAAAATAACAATTGAAAATAACTCTAGAGGAAAGCATATTTCCATCAATTTGTGGAAATCAACTGCCAAGAAAGGCAAACAAAGAATCTGTTAAGATTCATTGCTGCAAGTTGAGACAGGAAGAGGAGATTGGTCAGTTAGGGAAAGGAGGCAGCTTCACCCTTGAGCACAGCAATGGATGGTGTGGAGCAGGTGACTGTCTTGTGGCACTTAGAGCTAACATCCAGAGCCAGCAGCACAGGGACACTTAGAGCTAACATCCAGAGCCAGCAGCACAGGGACAGTTGTAGCTGCTGGAACTCGCAAATCCAGCCAGCATCCCCCAGCCCTGGCCAGGCTTCCACCAGCTCCCCAGGGGTGTGGAAGCCAGAAGGTTTTGGGTCTGTCTCATGACTGCTGGGAATCATGACCCATTGCTATAGCAACAGGAGTTCACATAACTACTGTATTTAAAAAATACCCCTATTTGTGGCATCTTCTGTAGGCAAAATATCCATTATTTATACCTCAGCATGTTCGCTGTGCAATTTGTATCCAGAGCTAATTAATGAATGATGACACCTTGACCCACCCTGTTACGGAGCCCTGTCAGATGAGGAGCCCAGCTTATTCTATCCCTGCTGAGGGAAGGCAGGCAGGAGAAGCCCCTGAGAAGCTCACCTGAGTTGCAGCAGTACCAGAAAAGGGCCAGTCCTGCAGCCATGCTGAAACATGCCAGGAAAAACACTGGACCTACAGAAAATGGCAAGAAAACACATTGAGACAGAGCAGGGCAGCAGTAGTTTAGCTCCGTTCACAAATCACCAACTGCTATCAATATACATAATTAAGCATATTCAAATGAAGATAACATAGTCACAATTCTGGATGTTCTATAACTAATGTACTGTGAAGCACATTTATTAGACTGCAATTAATTTTTACTGCAGTTGCTTTGTCACCATTCCCTGTTCCCCTCTGCTCATCTAGCTACAGACTGTGATATTAAGGAAAAGTTTCCAAACCAAATCCCCTGGAAAACTACCTGCCTGGAATTACACACAGTTTAATGGTGATGGTCACTACTGATGTTAAATACAACCTTTCTAATTTATACTTACCCACTGACAAAACAGCATAAAGATTTATATCTGCTTCTTTATTACCTAATACTCCATTTGTAGTTACTATCTCACTAGAAACAGAGATACAATTAAACTACACCTCTACTTGTAGATACAATTAAGCTACACCTATCAATTTAAGGACTGTACTGCCAACAAATTCCTGGAGCTGACCGTGTGGACAAGGACATTGGAGAAACAGCAAAGGAGCAAGGATTTGGTTGCTCTTTGGCATGTAACCTCCCAGGGAAGGTGGCTAGTGGCCAAAGAAACTCTAGTCTGAGGCCAAGTCAGAAAAAAAAAGTAATAAGTAAAAAAAAAACCACAACAAACCTTCATTTTTTTATTTGCAAGCACTTTCTTTGTTCATCCTGTACTGTTATGCTGCAGACAGCAACAGCAATGTGTGAAGTCTGAGCAGCAATTTAGTTCAATATTCAGAGAAACATCACCACCACAGACAAAAATATACATTGAGTTAAACAGTGTTTCTGCTACTTATTTCAGTTTTCTCTCAGGAAACTGCAAAAAAAGGCATAATTCATATGTGTTTTGAATCTCTCATTATTGTATCTTAATCTCTAAATAAAACTGAACTTAAATGATTATAGTTCATTATAAATTGTGAGAACTCTTCCTCTTCATTTGAGATCTTCCTTTTCAAAATATCCCACCATGAAAAAAATATTTGTCTCTGTAATCTGGCATTGAACAGAGAAGAAGGTGCAACTAATTAATATATTTTCCTAAGGAAAATGTATTTCAGCTTTTCCTTCCTTTCTGTCATTGCTTTCAAATGACTTGTAGTTAAATTGAGAGCTTAAAAAAATTGAAAAAAACAAAGATCAAAAAGTTATTGACGGCCTTAAGCAAAATGAACAGACTTTACTGTTCAGGCATTGAAGAAATCACAGGAAATTAAGAGCTTACTTATAGGTTAAGTAATACCATTGTAAATATTGATTAAACTCTACAGTCTCTTCAATTTCCTGGCACTGGTTTCCTCAACAGTAACTCAGTACATTTTCCTTCATTAATTCTACTTAACTTGTGACCGTAAAGATATCATAAGCCAAAGTAGTTGTTATATGCAGTGCAAATTACATGATATAATAAATTGCATCATAATCTGTAAAGCCATTCCATCCGGTGATACTGTATGATTTATTTACCCCTGTCATTTAGCATATATTGCTCCTTGTCAGAGTCTACCTCTGTGGGATCTGGGATTTCTAGAAATAAAAGCAACACATGAAAAGTTAGTACTCAGCTCAAGCAAACAAACAAACATGCAAAATGGTGCAAAACACCGTCTTTCAGAAAAATATCCAATACTGACATAAAGTATTAATCCCTCCAATGATAAATCATTGCTAGAGTCAGTTCAGTTAAAGCTGTCCAAAAGACATAGGCACAGAGTCATCTAGTACAAATTGCTGCAGCCCCACCTCTGATCTGCTTAAGTACTGACCACATAAATAACATTACACTTGTTTCCCAAGTTAGGACAGCAGGAGATAATCCTTCACAATACCAGCAATTTTCATTGTAATACATACAAACTCTTTGTTAATAGATGCACTAATCTGAAAACACCTCTATAATTTAATGTACCACCATTCTTTGTTCTTGAGCAAATCTCCAGGCATTGATGTATTTAGCAGGTAAATCACATAGAAAAAATTACTGGTGTAGATTATTTTCTAAATAGAGGTCTCAGCTGAAGACATGCCCACCTTCTTTAAAACTCTGTAGATTCTACATGCTAACATTTGGCACAAGTAATTTCAGCCTCTATCTTTCTGCAAATTCTGGTAGAAAGGAGACTGGCCTTAGGACAAGATGTTCAGTAGTTTCCAGTCTGGGCAGAAAGACCCTTTCAGAGCTGCCTCTGCCACACAGATGTGGAGATCATGCTGTCTGCAGAAGAGGGACGCGCAGCTGTCACCAGACATGGCAGAGGAGTGACTTTCCGTAACACATCACTGATCTGCAACACTGTTTTAGCCAAACATTTCTACAGTAATGGAATCACAGAATCATAAAGGTTGGAAAACACCTCTACGATCACCTAGTCCAACTGTCAAAGGGTTAGGAGGGTTAAAAAAAGAAAGGAAAAAAAGTAAGAGTTCTGAATCTGGCTGTCAATAGGGAAGAATGTAAGACTGATCGGTTTCAACTGCTCTCCTTTCACATGGCACCAAGATGTAGGAGAACTGCCCTGTCCACCCAGGCAGGAACAGGGAAACATCGACCTCCCCTGCTAAGGATATCCCTCTCTGTGGGGAGACAGGGCATGGTGCTGGAGTAGGACAGAAGCATCTGATGCCCTTTGCTGTGAAGCTTGAGAGTCACTGGAGCAGCAAGGGTTGCTGCAAAGCTTCCGTGAGCTCGGTGTGCCCCTAGCAGCCTCACCCAGCCTGCCCCTTTGAGGAGCTGATGTCCTCCCTAGGAATTCCAGCTAGGAAATCCTCACATTGCACAGGAGAGCACAGACAAATCTCTGCCACTTCTATCGCTGTGTGGGGCTGATCCAAGCCTTTATCCATTAAGTCTATGTCAACATGGAGGGAAATAAAAACATTTTCTGAGTCCCTTGGAAACTCCCGTTTGCTTCAACAGCTCCAAGGCTGCCCATATCATGTGCCTTACCACCCCTCTAGTGGGAATGTTCAGACATTACCAGACACTTCACTGGCAATTTACACTTTGGGTAAAGAAATTTTGTTCTAGCACGAATTTTAAAGCTGTCTTACAAATGAAAAGTAAATATTTTAAAGCATTTCCTCTGCTGAAAAAATCTGTCGTATGTATAGCTGCATGTAATCTGTTACAGAACTACAGAGTTCATTCATGAACCCATACATGGTTCACCCATGTCTTCATTGATAATTTCTCCAATTGTTTGTAATGCTGGGTTGTTTCAGCTCAGCCTGCACTTAGAAGAAAAGCCCTATGTTAGTGATTCACCATGTTCTTCATGTTTACAAATTCTAGTGGCAGTTCTGTAAATGCTTTGTGCTAAATTTAACAGCTACAGCTAAGAGCATTATAGAATGATAGCATGGTTTCAATTGGAAGGAACACTGAAAACCATCAAGTTCCAACCTCCTGCCATGGGCAGAGACACCCTCCAATGACCTGAGTGCTCAGGACCCCACAGACCATGAACACCTCTTGAGCACTTCCAAGAAGTAACATTTGACTAACAAATTGTGCATGTTGGAGGTATTAGGGATAATGCCTTTAACATTGAAAATGTCCAAGTTCACTTACATGAGAAGTTACTCCTCATATTGATAAAGGAGCTTTTCCTGAAGCATAAAGGTGTGTTTGCAGTTTTAGCTTGAAAAGCTGCACACATTTTTTGACCATTCAATCCAGAATGCAGACATTTGTTTTCATTACAGAACTCTGAAGCAGCAAGCATATTAACACAATCATCTCAATGTTTACTTCTTAGATCAACAGAAAGAAAACTGCTGAACCTCAGCACACAGTAATGTTTTAACTCAGTTCTTTCAATTATCCTTATCCTTCTGAGGATGATAACATTAAATAGTGTATGAAGATAACAGAGAATTTAATGACTTTTGATGGTCACTGAAGTCAGCAGTTTGCAGCAGCAGCAAAAGTGTTTTCGGGTGCCACAAAGAGATATATGTTTAACATGAAGCACTTCTAGCACAGGTATTTGCTATGCATAGTCTTAACATGAGAAACCCTAACTCTGCCTAGTCATGGCTACCTGAGGAAAGCTCAGAGTCACCACATAAATCACGTGCAAGGATGGGCACATTTCTGCTCTAGCTAAAAGTGAAAATATCCCACAGACTCTATCCAAGTCTCCTTGTAAAGATACATTTTCAAAAATGGCTTGTAGAATGTGCTATTGAACATTTAAAAAGCTTCAACTCTTAAACATCAAAACAGTTTTGAAATTTTTCTTCTTAGTGATTACACCAAGACTTCTCAAACTACTCTTAATTCATAAAGGCTGTCTGCTAACTGCTAGTCAGCCAGGCAGAAAAACTTGTTTCTTGACCTCTACCAAAGTAAAAATGATAGATCCAAGACCATTTGTTTGGAGAGCCTGTTCTCCAAAGTGCACGATTTCTGCAAGGTGAACATCAGATCAAAGCATTGTCTTCAAGCTGCTGTGAGGCTCAGACAGTTGGGATTGGGGCTCATCTGAGATTCTGAGGCAGGATGGGCCCAGACCTCCCCAGTTCAAAAGGGTTCCGGTATGGATGTGGGGTAACTGCAGCCTCCCTGTGCAGGCAAGAAAATGGTCCTCCACCAGTTTGTGCTGGGTAGATACAAATTGCTTTTTTCAGAATGAAAGACAAAATTAAGGAAATTACAATTTTACATTACAAAATCCCCTTACAGCTTTTGGAAAACTCAAGCCAGAAGGAATTAAGGTACACCCCAAAAATATTCAAGTAACTTGTTTATTTGTATTATTTATAGCCTGTTTAGGTTTTTAAGTTACCTACACTGCATCTGAAATTAGGTTTTGTAATACACTGGCGAGGAAATCCACAACTCAATCAACTTACAAATACACTTACTCAAGATTTTCCTGCTTGGCAGATCATTAAACAGCAGTTCAGCATTGATCTGCAGAGCCCTGTAAAACTCCTGACAGTGTCTGTCTCCTTTCTTTTGGAGGTGTTTTAACAGATCTGAGAGCCTGGTATGAAGTGATGCCTTTGGGTTCCTAAACTGTAAGAGAAAAGTGAGCATCAGAAAAGAGGTTAAAACAGAAGAGAGATTAAGAGATCAATTTTACATCACTATGTCAGTTATGTAGCTTATTTATGGAGCTTCTTTGATATTTACTAAAAGAATGGGCCAAAAAGGGAAACGTAAAAAGGACATACATGCACTGCACAGCCCTGAGCTTCAAGTGGTCAGCACTATCTGATGAAGAGCATATTGTCTCTGCCTCTCCTTCTGCTTTTTTCTGTCCCAATCAAGTGAAAGACACTCTGATGCCTTCCATGCATCCAAGCTGACACGGTACTTGCTATTGTACAGTTTAATTCTGGCAGCTGTAGATAGAATATTTCAGCAAATCTTATTATTTGAAATAAAGTATGATGCTTTCAAGTTTGCCCTTAGCTGCCCAGTAATGATCCCCAAAAAGGCACTTTATACTGCTTATCCTAGCCCCAATACTGGAGTGCTCATCATCCCAAGATTTCGTATTTCATGGTTTTTTGTTGTTCCAGCCAATTGACTGCTGTATACTCACTTCAACAGGCACAAATTCCCATTACTCAGGTTGGCAAACAGATGCAGTGGGAAATAAATTTTTTCTGTAGTGCTAAATGCGATGAATATTAGGAGACCTTACAAAGAGAAGGAAAATGCATCCCTAGCTGTGGTAGCACATTTACAATACCTAGCCTTACACATCAAACCTCTTTCAGTTTATTTCAAAAAAATCCAAAGCTATTCTCAGCAAAACATCATATTTCATAGAAGCACAGTGGATAACCTTTCTAGCAAACTGAGTTAAACTGCTGCTTGAGGGGGACAAGAATGCCACAAATTTAACACAATACTCCTTATTTTGACAAAATTCCCACAGGGTCTACCAGATTATAAATTTCCTAAACATTCAATAGAGTTGGCACAAACTTGCCTGAATCCATTAAAAAGCAGTTCATTTCCACCTAAGTGTAGAAGTCACAAATCATGTTTCAGATTCTTTATGCGTTTATTTTGAAGCTCTTGAGGGAAGTGGCAAGACTGGTTCAATAAATGACTAGCTCTGCTCTACACCACAAAACACTAATTGTCCCCATGAAGTTTGGTTATGGTAGCATTGGACCTATTTTTCCTGATGTTAAAATACTGATATGCCAAAACTCTGACAAAGTGCAGACATGAAGCTAGGCAGAAGACAAGTACAAACTATTATAAATAAGATTGTGGAAGCTCTTAGCTGACTTTAATTTTGTCTCCACACAAGATTAGAAGTTTTTTCTCCCTAAAAAGAGCTACCCATTTTTGAAAGCTTCACATCAAGGAGGGTGGCCTTCCTCCATACATGGTGGCATCACTGCAAGATATTATTAACTCCACCCACTTCCCAAAGCTCCACACTTATTAGTGGGACTAGTAACCCCCCACTTCTTTACCAATACTTAAAATTATTAATTGGTATCAAAACTGATTGAGCTAATATAGATGATTTTGTGGGCAGAGATGGATGCAGCATAGATCATCTGGTGTGCCACTGCACACCACCTCATGGGTGGAGACAGGCACACCAGGCATGTGGTCACAGGATGGGTGCCCTCCTGCCCATGGACTGGCTGCACGACTGTGTGGTCCTGATCATGCAGGGACCATGGCATTAAACTGCTGCAGAAGAGAGCATTCTCTCCCATGACCACTTGGCACAGAGAATGTGCCAGACCTGTGACTGCTCCTCTTACATGAGATGCCAGACACAACTGGTCAGCAAGCAGGAGGTGGGGCAGGCTGGCTGCATGTAGCACCAAGAGCTGTGTCAGAAAGAGGGCATCTGGGGTAGTGACCCGCAAAATCAACAGAACAGTCAGAGACACAGCAAAACTCCACAAATTACCTTTTCTGCTTCTTCATTGGTAAGAATTTGGGGATAGACTCTGTTAAGCTGAAGAACAATTTTATCAACCACTTGCTCATTCAGTCGGCTAGTACTGGTGAGGAAATACATGTCATGCTGCAGCCGATGACAATACGACTGATCTAGAGATAAAATAACACAGAAGAAATCACAGCAGTTAATTAATAAGCAATTTTTAAATTCTGTAATTTTCATTTTCCTACCAGTGATTAAATAGCTAAAATAAAATTATCACCACCACCTAATATTAGCAGGCTGAACTATCTGTTAGGGAAACATAACACTGCCATGTGCTTTCAAAGACCCATCCACTTGAAATTACATAAATCTGAACTTTTGGCTGGTCACTCTTACTGCCTCACTCCTTCCAAAGGGAGAAGGTTATTAATCATTTAGAAGTCAAGCTCTGATGGATATTTAATCAAATACAGCCTTAAAGTTAATAAATCACTGAAGATAAATTCTCTATTTATGAAGTCAGATTATGATATTTAAGGCACCTGCAAGATGCTTCTCCCATCCAATGGGATGCTCTTGAAAACAACGAGGCTCATAAAAAAACTTATCATACATGACCATAAAGTGCCAGACTGTCTGCTAGAGCACCTGCAGAAAAAACATCAAGGACACACTTTCTTAAGTTCTTCAAACACGGAGTTTGTCAGACACAATTCCCAACAGAGGAAGGAACAAGCCAGACCCTGGCAGCAGCCAGAATGTTGGACAAACCTGTGCACTCCTGCTTTACATGCCTGTGCTGAGATGTGTGGCCCCTGAAAGCAGTCACTAGCCACTGGCACAACGCAAACCAGAACTTGCTGGTTATACTGGTTGCCAAAAACACCTTCGTAGTTTTGTTTCTGCTTAACCATTCTTAGCATAAAAACCCTCATGTTGCTTTCTGTACAAGAAACATCAAATGGGATTTTGTTTGTCACAATCCCCTGCATACATTTTTTCATTATCTATTTTCACTGCCTTACTGGATAAAGCCACAGGGCCCTAAGGAGCTGCACTGCCACTTCATATTAATTAATTAATTAATTAATTAATTAATACAACTGCATTTCAAATTTGTAGGCTGAGATCAGCCCTTCCATGCCACACTGCAACATGCAAGCACTCTCATCCACACCCAGGACCTAGGAGCTGCCAACCACTTTTAGTCAGGCAGGTACTCACTCCCAATTAATAACTCCACTAATATTTACATAAGGACTGTGGACACTGTCTCAGACACCACTACATCTTTATTATGGTTTCATCTTTGGTTTGTTTTCCCCTTAAAAGCCTTCTTAAGTTTATCAAGCAAACAAACAGGATCATTAAATAGATAAATTTAAATACAACAGACACGAAACCCAGTGCACCTCTCTGATGTTCTCTGTAAAACACAGAACTTTCAAACATCCATTCCAGAAACCTCAGTGGTGTCTGCTGTGCAGTGCAAACACAAGCTGCTACTTCCTGTAAAACTTCTGGGTGATTTTCATAAACATTACACAGGAAAGCTGGCAACCAAAATGTGGACAATCAAACCATTTGTATGTGTCCCTGACAACTCCTTTCAGAAGCATATAGGAAAGAGGAAAAAGTCTCTCTCAACAAAATGTTGGCTTAACACTAATTTAGTTTTGCCTTTTCTCTTTCAAGACCCCAATAATGGGATGCCAAGGATTTAAGAAGGAGACTGGCTGCAGAGAAATGGTCTTGACATGATCAGATGACACTGGTTACCAACCGCTCACGAAGAGCAACTGGTCTGCTCCTCTGGGATGAAGATGACAGAGAGGTGAAAAACAAGATGCCATCCTCCTCTGCTACTCTCACCCACTGCCATGTGCTACTGGCAAGTTACTAGAAGTCAAAGATCTCTGACAGAAAGTCATGAGAATCACAGAATCATTTAGGTTGCAAAAGAACCTTTAGGCTATTGAGTCCAACCATCAATCCAGTATCATCATGTTCAGCACTAAACCATGTCGTGGATTGCCACATCCATATATTTTTTTGAACATTTCCAGAGATGGTGATTCCACCACTGCCATGAATAGCCTGTACCCGGCATGGGCAACCCTTTCAATGAAGAAATTTTCCTTAATATCCAACCTAAACCTCCCCTGCTGCAACCTGAGGCCGATACCTCTCATCTCGTCACTTGGTGCTTGGGAGATTGACACCCACCTGGCTACACTCACCCCTCAGGGAACTGTAGACTTCAACAACTGCAGTGAGCAAAATACTAAAAAGCATTTGATACTAGAGTGTGACATTAGGTAACATACAGTCCCAGTCCTCCAAGCTCCATAGAACAGCTAAAACAACCGGGCCCCGAGTCACCAGGATAACTAACCTGTGTGCTCCCCAGGTGTAGAGGCACAATCCCAGCGAGCTGCATAGAGGTTGGGAGTAAACAGCAGATTTCGCTGCCACACAACACGCAGCCAGTGTGCCAGGGTGTGAAACGTGGCACCGCCCGGCTACACCGAACACCAGGCCGGGGCTTCCCTCGGCCCTGCAGCCCCGCGCCCAGCCCGGCCCGCCCGCCGTGCCAGCGGCCCGCCCGTGCGGGGCCCAGCAGCGCTGCCCGGGCCGGGCCGGGCCGTGCCCGGGGCGCTCGCCCCGACCCACGGCGGGGCCGCGGCCGCGCACCAACCCGCCGGGGACGGCGAGACATCGGCGCGGCGGCCCCGAAGGCTGCGGCCGGGTCCGGGAGCGCGGCGCCGCTCGCCGAGCCGCCGAGGGTCCCCGGACCCTGCCCGTCCCGCACTCACCGGCCATGGCAGCCCCGGCCCCGCCCGGCCCGCGGGCTGCGGCCTTCGGACGGCGGCCTTCGGCCTTCCTGCCAGGCCGGGGCGGGGCGGCCGGCGCCGGGCACCGCCTCCCGGCCCCAGAGGCGGCGGAGGAAGCGCGGAGCGGGGCGGCCGCGGCGCAGAGCCGGGGCAGCCGGGGCGGCGGTACTGGGGCGGGCCCCCTGAGCCCCCCGTAGCCAACATCGGGGTCACCATCGCCTTGACCTTCGAGGTGAAAACACTTCTTCAAACGTCTGTGCTCACCAGCCCGTCCTGTGTAGAAGCATGAATTTACACTTGCACAGCCACGAGTTTTTAAACAATTAATGCATGATTAGTAAAGCCGCGATTTCCCTTTCCAGAAGAAATTACACTGTCCAAAATACCGTATCTACGTCTTCACAACATCTGTCTAGAATTTATATTTTCCTTGTGCTTCAGCACAACATGCATTTAAGTGCACCTGGACACGTAAGGTACATTGGGCAGGTGGTGACTCAAGCCCAAGGAGCAGGGACAACTTGTCCCACAGAAAAGGTTTCAGTGAAGCATGTAATTAATTGGGATAGTTAACTTTGTAAGTGAAAAAGTACAAGCAAATCTGCCCCAAATTTCACCAACAATTTATTACCTCTAGGGATAAAATGCTGCAGAGGATCAAAACTGTCAAATGCTGTGACATTCATGATGCATATCCTTGAGACGATTGGTATTGTATGTACATCTTGAGTTTATTCTATTTACCCTCCAGAACCCAGATCTTCCTAACAGCATGAAAATACATTTTAAAATTATTATTATTGCACATAGAGATCTTGATCACGCCTGCATTGGTGTAATTTTGGCAATCTATTTTGGTAAAGAAACAGGAACCTTGTGAAAAGGAACTTGGAATTGTGTCATTCCTTTTGTGATGTATTTTTAAGGCTATTTTGGATGGGGCTGAACTACTTGGCACAGTGGAAAATGCCCTGGCCCATAGCAGGGGTTTGGAATGAGATAATCTGTAAGGTCCCTTCCAACCCAAACCATTCTTATATTCTATGATTCACTTCCATAAGTATATTAATACTTTACAGCAAGAGGGGTTGCCTAATACTAAGGAGCAGTAGGAGAATGTCATGCTGAGGATTTGTTTTTATGACCCCTTTATACCTCTGTGAATTCATTGCATTTTGTGCTGTGCTAAAAATTTTCCCTGGAAACTTTTAGAAATTTTAGAAATTTTAAATTTAAAAGCTTTTAGAACTTTTTAAACTACTGGAATCTAAACCACTAAACAGAAAGCCTGTTCATCTTAGTGTGATATGGACTGAAATCTCTAATATAAATCGAAATGCACACAGTGATTCTGTGACATGCTGTTCAAAGCACAGTGAGTGAAGTGGAAGCAAAAGTCAATCCCTCAGGAATGCTGCAATGTACAGTGCCACACTGCTTGGAGATATTTTTGTCCTGCAGTCTCAGATAAATACACAAGAAGAAGAGGTTAAACGTATCTCCTCTTCATGCCGGTGGCACGCAACACCTCTGCAGCAGGATGGCTGTCGGGCTCTCTTTGCGCAGACAGATCCTTGCGGAGCCACACGTCCGCAGCAGAGGCCGGCCGCCGCAGTGCCCGTGCTCCCGGGGAGGGAAGGACCGGGCTGGGGCTGCCCATGGTGACAGTCACATCCCGTGACAGTCGCAGCGCACGGCCAGATGGGGAAGCGCGTCCCGGCCGCGGTGACGAGAGCGACGCGAACAGCGAGGCGAGAAACGCGCTCCTCAACGCGCTCCGGAGCGAGGGGCACGCCGCGAACCCCCGCTTCCTGACAGCGCCCAGTGCCCTTCCAAAACTCTGATTCAGTTCAGAGTTCTGCCTCCGAATTTAGTGGCTGTTAAAAATAGGTTAGAAGCTATTGTAAAATAGTTGATAGTTGTTAAGCATGTACGGTTAGTTTGGTTATGGTAAAAGGGGTTAAAAGGGAAGTTAGAAGAATTACGGTACTCAACGTACCATAATACATCTGAATAAAGCGCACCACCCCCCCAAGCGAAATGAGCCAGCCTGGACAGAACTGTCATGGGCCAATCAAGCGCATTAAATCTTCATGCAAATGAAGGATCCAAAAAGCAACCAATCCAAAAGGACAAAGAAAAAAAACAAAATAAAAAGGGGGCTTCTGACCCACTGAATCCGCGCCGCTCCACCTGGAACATCGGGGACATCGCTGCCCAGAACACCCAGCGCCGCGCTGCAGCATCCTCGACGGGAACGCCCCTGCTCAGCCCGCGGGCCCCCTTGCTTTAGGCCTTTCTTTTTTATTAGAATAAATGCTGCAATCACTTTTAGTACAGGGAGTGTGGTCCCGTTTTTAACACTGGCCATGCGAAGTGACCTGCACAATGTTTTATTTGCCAGAAGATTGATTTCCTGCTTAGCTAATCTCAAAAGCCAGTACTGTTTCCCCCCCAGCACACCTCCACCCCCCCCCCCCCCCCCCCCCCCCCCCGCTAAAGCGACTGATTTGTTTATTTGAGTGAATTATTTTACTTACTTAATAACACCCTTGTCCTGGCAACAAACAGTATCATGAGGTGTTTTATCTGTTAACTGTTGGATCACAACACGCTTTGCTGTTTTCCCACCACCAGATGACTGAATCTCTTTAGCAACAAATTAAATCTGGACAGCACAGTCTAACAGACTTGTGCTTAAGAAAATACAATATGGTATTTCTTAAAAAGGTCAGACAGTGCATTAGGCTCATTTCAGTAAGTTTCAGTCAATAATTTACAAAAACAAGCTCTAAGAAGGGGAAAAAATGTGAAGGCAGTGACGGGCTGGCCACTCCCATCAGAGCCATTGCGCCTCGCTCTGAACTCCTGTTCCCACAGATTTGCACCTTTTAGACCCTTGTTTTGCCCAAATTCCTCGTTACAAATGTGCACTTACAGCTTCTGTAGAGCATCGTCCATCGGTTTCAGGGTGGGTGTGTGCCGTGTACGGCACACGTCCCACGCGGGGCAGCCTCAGTGCAATTCTCCTTGACAGGATAAACGGAGGTCACGGGCTACTCGGAGAAGCGAAAGTAAACAGGGAGGGAGCGAGTCCAGCTGCGACAGCCGGCAGAGCGCCGCCGGGAGAGATGGGCTGCTGCACCTCTGCGCCTTGGGAGTCAGCAGCAGTTTACTGGTGATTTTAGGGGACGTGTAATTAGCTCTGAAAACCAAGATGATTGTTTGCTCAGAGTTATGAAGGCTTTTGGTGTGTAGGCTAATAATTTCTAGAGTAGCTTTGCATATAAAATATGTTATTTTCCAATCTTATATAGTCAGAGTATGATTATTGGTATGATTACTTTGTTGGTTAGAAGGAGATGAAGGAAGTTCTGATTCCAAACACAAAAGCAGAAGATGTGCTGCAAATTCCCAGCTCTTTATTCCTAACCAGTGAAGCCAAACCGTGAAATGGAAACAGAACTGATTTGGATGAAACTTCTCCCAGAGGGTGCTGGGCACTGCCCAGGCTCCTCAGGGAATGGGCACGGCCCCAGGGCTGTCAGAGCTCCAGGAAAATTTGGACGGTGCTGCCAGGGATGCCCAGCGTGGGATTGTTGGGGTGTCTGTGCAGGACCAGTGTTTGGATTCCATGATCCCTCAGGGTCCATTTCAGCTTAGGATATTATATGATAGCCTGGAGCATCCACAGGTCTGGAAGCCCCTGGTCAGTTGTAACTTTCTGTGTATTCACCTTGTACCTGGTGAATTACACACCCCTGGTTTTGCTCTATGATATCCTATCACTAGAAATGTTAACAGCATAGGTAAAACAAGAAGATGATGCAGATAATGGGAAAATTGTGTATCCTGGCACAAGGGAATAATGGGCACATAGACTAGGGCTCTGTATACTGATCACAAACAGTCCTGGTAAATGTTGCACAGATTCTGGAGAATGAACAATCAGCTTCACAACATGTTCAATATTGCACTTGGCTCCTTATCTAAAGCACAAATCAAACTGTACATATGAAAAAAATAGCTAATTATTTTTAAAAACACAACTGAATTCATTGAAGATAGGAAGCAAATAAAGCTGTTAGAAAATCCTCCCCTTAAAATAGGTGTGTAAATAAACAGCTGATAGATTTGGCAAACTGACATTCTGCAGAGCTGTGGGAAGGGAACAAAGCCACTTCAGGTACACATCCTCACATGGAAGTCATCCCTGTGCCAGCTCTGGGCCTCATCTGATCCCCACAGCCAGGAATGATAGAGAGGCTGGTGTGCAGCCTGTGTGAAGTAAAGCCCAGTTCTGGGCACGGGTTAGTTTAAGGTTAGAGTTCTTGGGTCATCCTTGATGGAGAGTTGCTGGGCTGCGATGGTCCGCTCAGATGGGCGGATGGCTTTATATTTTGTGAAAGGGATTTTGAGGATTTTAGTTGTTGTAGTCATAGTCTTGTTTATGTTTTCCTGTTTAGTTAAATGTTTACAGAAGTCTATAGGAGAGGCCTTTTTAACAAATAAAGGAAGGGGAGTTGTGGAGGCCTGTGGGCCTGCTAGGGGATTTCCTGGGGCTATGCCCTGGAAGAATGTCTGCTGGACTTCAGACTCTCCCATACACTCCTGTGACATGCTGTCAACCAACCCCAGTGCCACTCCCCCTGTTGGATGTTCAACTGGCTGTTAACCAACCACATATAGTCACGGTTCTCGCTGTTTCTTTGTTCTTTGTACCCTCGTTGGTCTGTACCCCTGTCTGTTTACCCTTGTGTTTCCCTTTTGGTCACTGTAATCCTTTTCCTGCTCACACCTTCAGGTGACTGGTTGTTGCTGTTGCCCCTGCCCCTTTGTACCAGTATATAATCCTGGACCCTCTACTTCGCCCTGTCTTTGTCCCTAGACCCTTTCAGAGTGTAGGTAAAATAAACTACCACTGGAAACCCATACAAAGACCCTTCCTGCCTCCGCTGTCTTAGATTACCAGCTGTTGCATGTGAGTGTTGTATTTGATGTGTGCTTCATGGAGTGCTCTCCTTGTAGGGACACTTCAGGAAGGTTTCAGCAACCTACCATCTGCCCACGCTGCAACAGGTTAGAGGCCACTGCAGACTGCAGCTCATAGATGCAGTGTAAGTCCTGTGGGAAAGACTTCTGTGAGCAGTGTTCAAGTTATCAGTTTCATAAAACACAAAAGGCAATGCAAGTGTTCTGTAGCAGAAATAGGAGCTTGAATCCAGTTGGAACCACCGGCCAGCACACATTTAAGGCTTACAAGGTTTAAATGTCTATTTTAGAGCCTCAGCTGCTTTAATCTCCTTCCTGCACAGCACTTACTTCCCTTCTGACAATAAATTACGTTTGCACAAGCCATAAAGCTAACTCCAGGGGGTGCAGCCATCAGAACTAAGCACAGTCCCAGAAGGAGCCAAGCCACAAATCTTTCACAAACAGTTTGGGTGTTGCTTCCTTATCTTGGTGTAACTTTGCTGCCTCTTGCATTAGCGGCCCAAATAAATGACAGTCATTTAGCTCTGACACAGGGACAGTGAATTTACCTGCCTTCTGGGGTGCTTTCCATGGCTGCCAGCATCAGCATCCCTGGCAGCTCAAGAGTGCACTTTTTGTCCCATCCGATATTACTCATCTTAGCCTCATGCAGAACAGGAGCCATGCTGTCTGCTCACACAAAGTGTTGACCCAAACATCCCAACAGGGAATTTATTTCACTTGCAGTCACATTATTGCATTTTAAAGCCACATAATAAAATTAAACCACCAGGGAACTAAATAATGGAATTCTGTGAACATAATCATAGAGATGGGAAGAGGAAGGAAATTCAAAGGAGCTGCAGAGAGGCAGGATCAAGGGTATCTTGGCCACCCTACACATATGTACCTTAAGCACAATATTGCCAGTAGGGCAGAACACCTTCCTCCCATGCCTGTAACTCTTTTTAATCTTAGGCTGAGATGTATCTTATTTGTGAAGAACTTGTTTAACCATTTGTTCTACACTTCTGGGGATCAGAGAAGCCCTTCCATTCTGGTACTTCTGAGGTTCTCTTCTCACCCCTTATTAGATTTGCCCTTTTCCATTTTCTAAGAGCCAGCCCCTCACCACCCTCACAGACAAGAATTTCTTTCCTGCATCTCATCTAACCTTCTGGCAGTAGGGAGCCATTCCCCGTTGTCCCCAGTCCCTCTCCAGTTCTCCTGGAACCCCTTTAGGCCCTGGAAGAGGCTCTGAGGTGTCCCTGGAGCCTTCTCCTGTCCAGGTGAGCAGCCCCAGCTCTCCCAGCCTGGCTCCAGAGCAGAGGGGCTCCAACCCTTGGAGCATCTCTGTGGTCTCCTCTGGACTGGCTCCAGGAGCTCCATGTCCTTCCTATGCTGGGGCCCCAGAGCTGGACACAGAGCTTCAGATGAGATCCTACCAGAGCAGAGCAGAAGACAGAACCATCTCCCTTGACCTGCTGGGTACAGAAGCTGTCTGGGTCTGAAAGGCAACTGAAAACTGCAGTCAGAATAGTTCACAGCACAACTATATCCTGAGAAACACTAGCTAGTATTAATTGGATGAATTGAGAATTTAATTTGTTGTAGTGATGGGAAGTATATCCATTCTTCTTTTTGGAGTGCATAGTGAGAAGTGTGTTGCAAGGGTGCACCTTGGTGTAACATACAGTAGAAATAAGCTTATTAGAAACAAGAAAAAAGCTCTTTTGTTGCAACTTCCATCTCACTGAATTTCAAGCATATGTTTTTATCTCTGTAGAGTATGGCCAGGATAGAAGAGGGCATTTGCCAGAAGGCTACAGTAATTTCAATTTCAAAACTGAAGCTTCAGAACTGCAGTTGTGAGAGGATGCCTGATTCATACCAAGGGAATATACCATAAAAAAATTACTGCAGCCCACTGTAAGGTCATGTTTCTACCCAAAAGAGGGATGTGATGATACCCATCAAACAGCTGATAAAAGTATTAAGTAAGGCTTCAACTGGAACAAAAATAACTAAACTATAAGTAGGATATACAACGATTTACATATAAACAGTAGAAAAGGCACTGTATCTGTTACTTAACTATTCAAAAGGAACAAAACAAGAAAAAAACTCACCTTGTTTCCTCACATTATATACAGATTAACAACAAGGAAAAAGGCAGGCTTTCAAAAGCTACCTCAGTAGCTACCTTTATTTAGAGAGGTCTCACAGTGATGACGCTGCAGCAATCCTGAGCTGGCTGCTCCAGGAAGGCTGCACCGCTGTCCCCATCTGCACACCAACTGCTCTTGCATTGGGACACCTGTAGAAGCTACAGGAGGTCACAGGTGGGGGCCCCAAGGTGTGCCACAGCACAACACCACATCCCTCCATGTGCCATCT